GCACACACACCCACACACACACACACACACCCACCCACCCACCCACCCCACCTCCCAAATCAGGGGAAATAAAGACATTTTGTCATTCATTAGATACTATGACCATATACATTTATAAGAAATTGAGGTAAATGTAGTTTGTATTGAAGGACAAAACCAAGGATAAATTCTATTTGTACTTTGCCCTAAAACTCTTTCATTATATTGTAATACAAGACATTATGAATTTCCAGGGAACTTTGTTAATTTAAAAAAAGAAAAGAAAAAAAAAAGCATTAAGAAAATGGGAAAGAAAAAAAAATGCTGATCCTCTTTCCCCCAACTCTCACATATTAAGATTAAAGGCATGTACAACCACAGCCAACACAAAGCAGCTTTAACCATCACTGATGTGAATGTTATAGTTTGTATAAAAGTGACTACCTGCAACGTCTGGTTATGGTGGACAGAAACAAGGATGTTACTATCACCACTATACTTCTTATAAGGCCTTCCCAAGTATCTAACAAATGTGGGTATTAGCTGATACTTAGCCAAAAGACAGACTGAAATTATTGAAACTCAACTCAAGAAGACTCATGGACTTAGGTCTTATACTTGTTGTTATGGGCACACACTTCAAACTGACTATGACTTTCAAAAATAAATACCCAATTCTAACAGTGGAGCCAGTGTTTATCCCTGGCTCAAGTGGACTTTGGGAGCCCATTCCCTATGGAGGGATACTATTGCAGCCCAGATACATGAAAGAGGGCCTAGACCCTCCCCCAAATGATGTGAAGGACTATGACAGCCCCCACCCATGGAGGGCCTCACTATCTTTGGGGAGTGAGTGAAGGTGGGTTGGGGGGGTTAGTCGGGATATGGAAGGAAGGGAGGGAGGGGGAAGGAAGGAAGAGAGGGAAAGGGAATGGGAGGACTGATATGTAAAATAAGATTGTTTCTAAAATAACAAAGCTGTAAATAAATAAATACCCAAAGGCCAATATTTACAATTAGTGCCATTCTTACACATTATTTTAATTGTTCTAAAATATTGAATAAATAATAGATTAATTATATTTAGGAACAAACTAAATTTACATTTAGTTAAAAGATAACATGTCAGGTAAATCTGAACCAGAAAACTTGTATAAGAATCACCAAAAACTAACCCATTTGTTAAATTTAAAAGCTATATAGAAGAGAGGAAGAGAAAGACAAAGAACATTACAGAAGTCATACTTCAAGACACTAAAATACATATAGGAAATTATACAAATAAACTTCTAAGATATACAATTACCTTCTCCAGGAAAAGATGTTTATAGGTTTCCATTCCCATTGCATGTTGATCTTTACTTCGAACTTGATTTAAAAACCAATGAAGTGCATCATCATAGCACTCAGAATCTTCTACTAAACAATGCCATAAAATGTCGACTTGCTCTAAACTTAGCCCTAAACAAAAATAATAAATTTTGTGCTTCATTAATTTCAGAGGGGAGGTGTGAAATAGGATACTGCTATATAGCTCACTTCTGCCTACAACTTGTATTCCACCTGCCTGTACTTTCCAAGTGATGAAATATTGCTGACTTACCACATCTGGCTTGTGTTTCTATAAATTAGATAAAAAGTAACTATACACTTCCTTTTGGACAACGTGTATATATAGTCTGTTTTCCTTAAAATACAAATGCTTTAACTATTAGCTCAGTGCTAATTCCTTATGGTTTTCTGTGTGGAAATTTGAATCAGGATTAGATAAAACATTTTGGTCCTAATTCATTATATTAAAAGCAGCCAAATTTGTATATAAAGGAGCTAGCTGACAATATTTTGGTTTTGGTTTTTCTAGACAGGGTTTCTTTGTGTAACCCTAGCTGTCCAGGAGTTCACACTGTAGACCAGACTGGCCTTGAGATCCACCTACTTCTGCCACCAGAGGGCTGGAATTAATGTTGAGTGTTACCACTGCCTGAATAGCTGACAGCATTTCATAAAAAGTATTTTAAAAGAAACTCTAACTTTTGCTATTAAAGTAGAAATATCAGAGTTAGAGACATGACTCAGCAGTTTAAGAACCATTCCTTACTCTTCCAAAGGACACAGAATCCACATTAATTGGCTTACAAACACCTATACCTACAGAGGATACCTCTGGCTTCTAGGGCTACTGAAACATGGATTTATATACCCACAAATGGACATATTTAACATACACATAATTAAAAAAGAAATAAAACAAAATATTACACATGTATAATCTTACATAATTAAAAACACAAGTGAAAAACTGTTGTATGGCTTGGGATATAGCTCATTAGTGCATGATGAGTTCAGGCATGATGGTTCAAATCTTCAGCAACACCAAAATAGGTCTAAAGGATTATCTGATTGGTAAAATGTGACTACCTCAGAGAATTATGGTAATAATTGGCTTTGAACTTAAAATTCTTCTATTTTATGGACAGGATTACCTGTCTTACCTGGAGACAAGCAATCACAGAAATTTTGAGGATTCAATTCTAAAGATGAGGATTACAGAGTAGAAAGTATATCCAAAGGCTGTCCATGGGAGATACAGGATCACAGCCACTATTTTTATGAAGAACAAAGCAAATGTGCAGGAAAAAAAGAAATACAAAGAATTCACTTCATGAGATTCAGGTGACATATAGTACTCTGACCCCAAAATCAAAAGACTCCCAAATATAACAATGAAAAACCAAATATAAAACTCTGTAGAATGAAACAGAAAACATTCCAGGCAATCACAAGTCTGAGAATGAATTTAAAAACCAAAGTAAAACAACAACCAGCATCCAAAAAGAACCAAAACAAAACAAAATCAAAACAAACACACACACACACACACAAAACAAAAACAACAACAACAACAACAAAAAAAACCCAGACAATTCAAAGGATATTTAACTTAATGAGTTCATTCTAAAGACTATTGTGGTTTCCTACAGTCTGGGGAGATATGAAAGTACAAGAATGACCAATCCCCCCCCCCCAATAATAACTAAGAAATCAAATGCATTTCCACAATACCAGAAAATATTCACCTAAGTATCAATATACTCTGAAAGGTTTTGTCTTCTGTAAACTTTAATTTTAGCACTTAGGCCATAATACAGAAGAATTTTAAGTTCAAAGCCAATAAATGCTATACAAGCAATTTAGGACAACCAGAGCCATACAGTGAGACCCTGCCTCAAAAATAACACATGGTGTTTTAGATTAGATGATTTTCTAAGAACATATGTTGCTTAGAGCCAACATGATGGTTAAGTGGTGAAGAGTGTTTGCTGCTCTTAGAGAACATAGTTCAGTTCTAACCATCAACACTGGACAGTTCATACCTGCCTCTAATTCCAGTGCTCACTCGTGCTCCTGCTCTCCTCCCTCCACCTCTCCCTCTTCCTCCCCCCACCCCCAGCCCAATGACCCAAGTGGTAGTGGCATGTACATACACACACAAACACACCAATAAGCCAGGTGGTAGTCACACACAAACACACAGAGCCACGTGTGGGTAGTGTATGCCTTTAATGCTAGCACTCAGGAGGCACAGGCAGGAGGAGTTCTGTGAGTCTGAACAAGTCCGGTCTACAGAGCAAGTTTCAGGACAGCTAGGGCTACGCACAGAGAAACCTTGTCTTGAAAACTAAAACAAACAACAAAAAAAAAAAAAAAAAAAAAAAAAAAAAAAAAAAAAAGAAAAAAACTAAAACAAACAGGATGGATGGATGGACAGAAAAACAGACAAAAAAAAATCTTGAGATTAAGAGATAACATAAACTATACGTAATGTTTAGTATATGTTGCTAAACAACTTAGATTATTAAAAAGAACAAGATAATAAAGTTAAAAGATTCCACAAAATATTATTAATTTTGGAAAATTACATAACTAGAATTGTTAAAAATCTGCTGACTCAATAAAACATTCAATAAGCAATAATCTTGTTATTTTTTATAACTTTTTAAAATTGTTCTTATTAATGTACCCAGCATAATTAAACATGACTACACTATATTTATAATACTATTATCCTCTGGGTGGAGTGGTTGGTTTTGAGGTTTTTCCTGGTGGTGGTTTTATCTACACAGTAACTAAAGTTTTTGTAGAGAAGCTACACTGTACAAAATAAACACAAAACTCGGCAGTTACCAGATATTATCTATACGGATCATAATTATTTTATTTCCTTTCTTCATCTAAGATGATTTTATATTTTCCTTTTGTTTATAGTCATAGTGGGTACATGACCCAATAAAACAAAACAAATATGCTATAAAAAGATGTTTTACTTGGGCTGGACAGATGGCTCAGAGGTTAAGAACAATGACTGCTCTTCCAGAGGTCAGAGGTCCTGAGTTCAATTCCCAGCAACCACATGGTGGCTCACAACCATCCGTTAAGAGATCTGTTGCCCTCTTCAGGTGTGCAGATACACATGGAAGTAGTATGTTGTATGCATAATAAATAAATAAAATCTTAAAAAAACAAAAAAAAGATGTTTTACTTTTGAAATCTGTTGGGATCCCAATGTTAGGTGAACTTCCTATAGCCTAAATGTGAACAAATTATAGATTTAAACCAGGAAGAGAAATACATGGTCTAACACAGTTAGGACTTCAAAAAACAAGTGATGGTGACACATTTCAAGCTAGCAAATTAACTATCTATTTGGCTATATTAACTAAAGCATATGAAAAATACTGTTTAACAGATGAAACTACTATGACACGGTGACATGAGAAAGAGAAGAGAAGAGAGAGAGGAGAGAGAGAGAGAGAGAGAGAGAGAGAGAGAGAGAGAGAGAGAGAGAACGAAAACAAGTGTCCTGGCAGTTCTCTCTGCCAGCAGATAGGAAAGTGCTGTCCCAAGCTAAACTCACATTAACCTTAAAGCATTCCTATTCTTCACTTGACAGTCTACTAACAATAGATCTGTGTCTTAAAGTTGTCATTGGGCACTGTGCCTTCCTTGTCTGGTCGAAGTTCTGTTCCTATGGACACGGGACCTTATGTTCCCATGCTATGGCTCTGCTTATATCTCTTAGCTTAGAAAAGTGCTCCTGACCAATGAAAAATTAACTCTGTAATTCTTATCCTTTGCTTCAAACTTCTTAGAAAAGTGTTTTGGGAAGAAGAGCCTAGAGAGGAAATGTCTGGATAAAGAATCTGGCAGAAATTAACACAAACATAGAAAGGTAAGAATGTAGGAAAAACAAGTATGTTGGGAAATGAAGGAGAAAAACAAACATGAAGAAGTTAGAAGCAGGACAAGATTATTAGAGCAGAAAAGAGCACATGAACAGAAAGGATGTGTGAGAAGATTCATTTTCCATTGCCTTCAGATTTAGAGCCTACAAGTATTGTGGCATCTCTTTCTGAACCTCGAGCAAAAGCCTTAAGGCCAGACCTTAGGGTCTCTGATAAAAGAGAACCAATTCCTTCAAGTTGTGCTATGATCGCCTCATGAACCCTTAATAGGTACATGCATGTACAAGCACACAAATAAATGTAAGCGAAATTAAAATCTTACTGAAATGATCAGGTGATCCCAGAGTTGAAAACACACAAGTTAGGAACTGAAGTCGAACTTGAACTTCGGCACTATGGCTGTACCTACAAAGAACCATTCAAATAATTAACAGAAGACCCCATTTCTTCTTTTTTCATGTTTCCCCCCCCCCCTGAAACAGAGTCTTCATTCTGTAGAAGTCTTTATACTGTAGATGAAGAATGGTCTTGAACTCAAGGGAAACATCCTGCTTCAATATGCCAAGCCCTGGGATTACAGGTCTAGGCTACCACAACAAACAAGATCCTACATCTTTTTATTTTTTTAATTATTTTTATTTGAATTAGAAACAAGATTTTACATGTCATTCCCCATTCCCTCTTCCTCCCCTTCTCCCATGTCCCCCACTAACACACTACCTATCCAATACCATTTCTGCTCCCCCCAAAATTACAAAATATAAAATAAAAATGCTCAGAAAAATCATTATATGGCAAAACACTTTCTAAAAATACTACTGAAGTACTAAAAACATTCCTAACTCCAGGTAATAAAAAAAAAATCCTACATCTTTTAAGAAGATATTTAATGTTCCTAATCATAGCATACACCAAAAAAACAGAAATCCTATACAGTTTACAATGCTCCATTGTATTAATTATGTAACTATATGCATTAATAAGTTCATGAAAATTTTCAGGATATATTAAAGTTTATTTCCAAAGTTAGCTTTTTTTAAGCCTTTAAAAAAATTTTTAGATACACACACACACACACACACACACACACACACACACACACACTTGTTAACAAGCACATATATAACAAATAAAAAGTAAGCAAGTAAAACCACTCTCTGTGGAGTTTTAATACCAAAATAGTCTAGCTAAGTCTTTTATCTAAGGAGCCCCAGGTCTCAAGAAATTTTCTAACATTTTCTTGTAAGAAATGAATTCTCTTTCCTATCCAACAGTTTTTCCTTGGCCAAACTTCAACATTTCTATATTATAATCCCCATGATGGGTAAAAAACAAACTAAATTCATAAGATCAGCATGCTTTAAAAAATGAGTATTATTACAGTCTGAAATAAACAAAGGATGTACACTAAACAGATTATATCCACATAATACTGCTCTACTTTTAATATGAATGAATATACTGATGGCAATATGTAGCTCTTAACACAAAGAGTTCTAGCTTGGTGAGATTTCACCACTAAGGGAGTATTCTAAAATTACCGTCAAATCAGGCTCCATAGTGAGTTCCAAGTCAACAAAATCCTACTTAAAATGTAAAGAATAAAGATTATAACTGCTAGACACATGGCTTAGACATAAACACTAGCTCCACTTTTCACTACATGTGTGGCCTTGGATAAGTTATCTATTGTTTCCTACCTTTAGTGCTCTCATTTGTAAAATGAAACTGTCTTCCTCAAATGAGCTGATGTATATCTGTTAAAGGTTAGCACTTAATTCTCTTATTGATTATTGTATACAAGTGTAAGGAGAAGGGAATGATGTGTGCAAACCATGCATACAGTTATAAGAGGACAGATGACAATAAAGGGCATATTCATCAATCACCCCACCCACCTATGTTTTTTAGACAAGATCTTTACGGCTAGAGATAGATGCCTCAGTGGTTAAGAGTATTGACTTGCTGGGCTTTTGTGGCGCACGCCTTTAATCCCAGCACTCAGGAGGCAGAGGCAGGCGGATCTCCGTGAGTTCGAGGCCAGCCTGGTCTCTAGAGGGATTGACAGGATAGGCTCCAGAGAAACCCTGTCTCGGAAAAACAAAAACAAAAACAAAACAAAAAAAGAGTATTGACTTAACCTTCCACATAGGACCTGGAATCAATTCCTAGCATGTATACGGAATAATTCACAACCATCTGTAACTCCAGTTTCAGGGACTCCTATGCCCACTTCTGACCTCTGTGGACACCAGGCATGAAAGTGATTCACACAAATCATATGCATGCACATGAAGGCAAAACATGCAAACATATAAAGTAAGATAAATAACTTAAAAATATATTTACAAGGATTAAAATAAAAGTATTACTACATTAGAAATGGTGAATGTTTACGTTTAACTAACAACAATGACTTTCAATTAATTTCAGTAGTAATAGTTAAAACAGGTCCCAAGTTAAACAACCTTCCTATGAATTATGGGAGTAACATCATGAAAATCTTGTAACATGTTTTTTATTTTCTTTCTCTTACAATTTTAAATAAATTGTTATACTTCTTACATATACATGAAACAAAGGAAAGCAGAAAATTATCTGTCAGTGAACAAGAAATCATTTAACCTACTGGAGACAGTACTTACAACGCATGCTTTTGTCTTCCTTCTCTTATACCTTGAATGTAATACACCAGATTGTCAAAGAAAAGCTTCATCATGTTCAGTTCTTTTTCTGCCCACCTGGCCCAATTAGAAGAAAATAATAATTGGAAAAGGGAAAGAACCAGAAAACAAAAAATATATCTCAAAAGGAGACAGTGTAAGAAATCTTGAAATGTATAAGTTTTTGTTTTGATTTGACTGTTTTCTCTTTGTAGACCTGGATGTCCTGGAACTTGTTCTGCAGATCAGGCTGGCCTCAAACTGTTGGGATTAAACATATGAGTCTAGGTGCCCAGCTAATAGCATAACTTCTTTAGTCCAAGCACATGGGGGGCAGGTGTATCGATATGAATTCAAGGCCAGCCTGGCCTACTCAGCAAGTTCCATGCTAGCCAAAGCTGTACAATAAGGTCCTGTTCCAAAAACATTTAAAGACCATAATTTTTTTCTTTGGTTTTTTTTTTTTTGGAGGGGGAGGGGAGTGTGGCTGGAGAGATGTCCTGATGGTAAAGAACACTGGCTGCTGTCCGAGAGAACCCCAGGTTCAATTTCCAGCGCCCACATAGCAAGTTACCACAATCTATTAATTCAATCCCTGGGGATAAGATACCTTCTTCTAGCCTCCACAGGCACTAGACCCATATGATACATAAACATAAATGCAGGCAAAATACCCATAAAATTATATTAAATAATTTTAAGGTAAAAAAATTTTAATTTATTATTACTTTATTTTTCATGTTTATGGATTTGTTTTTTAAGTGTTCAACTGTGCACCACTTGCATGCAGTGCCAAAAAGAATGCAGATAAGGCTGTCAGCTTCCCTGGGAAGTTGCCGCAAGGATGCTGAGAATCAAAGCCCAGAAAAGGAGCCTGTGTTCTTTAACTGTTGGGCCATTGCTCTAGGCCCCACAATTAGTGTTTTAATTTAAAAATTCAACACCTGTGAAGGAACAAAAACATTCATTTGGTTTTGCTTTGTTTTGGAGACCATCTCATGAACTCACTATGGACGACTACAGAGCAAGCACCAAGTGAAGTAGGGCAACAAAGTGAGATTGCCTCAAAATCAAAAACAATATACAAATCAAACAAAACAACTTCAGAGATTAGAAAGTGTAAGAGATACATAAGACACCAACTGCTGAGTAACTGGTAACAGCTAAGCATAAGCACTCTTTTTCCTATCAGGTACTACCCTTGAAACAATTATTTTAACATTCATCAATCATAACTTCTCCATAAGTACAAGGGAATAAGGTAATGTTAAGATTATCATTGTAAGGTGGTTTTGTATCATAGTCTAGTGATAGGAAAAAATAAGATAATGTGAGCATATATTTTATTGCAGATCTTTTTCAGGAGTTCTCTGCAATGGTCACTATAATAAAAACCTTCTCCCTAGGGTTAAGAGCATCAAATGCTACAGTACTGTTCTCAACAACAAAGAAAAGAAGTTTATGAATAAATAAATAAATAAATACATAAATAAATAAATAAAATCCAGATGGTTAAAAGACAGAAAAGGGTAGCAAAATATTTAAAATAAGAAACCCAATTTTTTTTTCCCTTAGGCACAGCAAAATCTACTAAAAAGCATAATATAACTTTCAAAAAAACCTTTAAAAATATTTTGTATCTTTTGTTCACTTACATTGTAATCCAATGTGTATCATAACTGCTACCAAACTGCTGAAAAGTACCAAACAGTTTTGGAAGAAGACGAAGAGAAATCACTACTGATCTGAAAGAGTAAAAGCACATTTTCACAGAGTAAAACAAGTAACTCTAGACTGTCACAGAAATCTAGTCCTTGAGAATCTTTAAGTGTAAAAGTCTTAATGTACTTTAACTAGAAATATAGCCTTACAAAAATAATTTTGTTTCTAATGTCTATTTATATTTCTAGGAAAACTTCAAGTTAAAATAATGTAAGAAGCAGGTGTGGTTAATGCATGACTTTAATCCAGGACTCAGGGAGTTGTGAATTCAATGCCAGTCCCACTAAAGGACACACAGAGAGAACCTATCCCAAAACAACCAAAAACCCGAACTAAACAAATTAAAAGTATCTGGGTTTAAATCCAAGGTGTAAGAGCCTTTTAAAGTACTTTTTTTTTTCTTTAAAATAATCTTTGATACTTAATATCACTTTTCCCAATTATATTATCAATATAAAAACTGATTACCACTGCTTCATACACTGCATTTCTAAAAGAAAACAAAAAAACAAAAAATGCACTTCATATTCCAAAGAAAAGCATGAAAGGAAATCTAAAGAAAGGTGCTGAGGAGATAGCTCAATGGCTATCTCAATAATACACTATTTTCTAAAATCTATAATATCTGTAAGGTCCTGGGTACAGTCCAGTGTGTGTGTAATAAAGGAAGGTGGGATATTTCTGTGCAACATCCTTTCTATGTTAAAAACTATACAAAGGCAGATACTAAATACATAGTGGCTATTTTTTTGGGGGGGGCGGGTCAAGACAGAGTTTCTCTGTGTAACCCTAGCTGTCCTGGAACTTGGGTCTGTGGACCAGACTGGCCTTGAACTCAGACATTCATCTGTCTCTGCCTCCCAGGTGCTGGAATTAAAGGCGTGCAACACTACTGCCCAGATATAGTTGCTTTTAAAATGAGCCAAAGAACTTCAAGGAAAGATTTTCAAGAAATATAAAAATATTATGTCACTTAAAAGTTTGAAGGGTGAAGGCAGAAAAAAGACATAAAAAACTAAAAAAGAAAACTATTAAATAGAATGAAAGAGAAATACACTACACTGATAGAAACCAAAGAGCAATGAATATAATGTCTAATGACATCTAAGAACTAAGTGGATATTTTGAGTATTTAAAACATCTAAGTCAAAACATGTTTCCCAATAAAATGGCTCAAAAAGAAAAAAAAAAATACTTATCGAACAAACCTAATGACCTGAGTAATGACCTATGAGCCACTAGTCCTGGTATATGTGCTGGGCATTAAATCTAGGTTTGTACAAAGTAAGCAAGCACTCTATCACCTAGGCTATATCTACAGTTTAAAATCTAGAATCATTATCAAATAATTCTCTATCAAACTTCATGAAGAATAACTAGTTTTTACATATTTATCATATGCCTATCTATCTGGCAGCATGTGTGCACGCACATTTGAATCAAGGTATATATATGGACATCGATGGATAAACTGTAAGAGGTGTAAGCACAATGCAGGTCCAGGAGCTTCAAGCTTGGCAACATATGCTTTTACCCATTGGATCGTGTGTGTGTGTGCGTGTGCGTGTGTGTGTGTGCGCGTGTGCGCGCGCGCTCGTGCACATGGCTGGTAATAGAACAGGCCTTGCACATGCTAGGTATATATTCTATCATTGTACATATCCAGGCCCCATTAATGGTTTATTTTTCCTAAAAATTTACCTAAAACAGAACATACCAATTTCACTTATCGTTACAAAAGTAAAATCAATGAGAAACTACAAAGGACAGAGAACAGTATCATGATAAATCACAAAAGCAAATTTATAAAATGTTTATAGAATAAAATTTGAACAATTGTTTTTAAATAAGAGAAAGAATGGCTGGAGAGAAAGCTCGGTGGTTAAAAACTCTAGATGCTCTTCCACAGGACCTGGGTATGATTCCTAGCACTCAAATGATAGCTCAGAACCACGTGTGACTCCAATTCCAGGGGATCCTACACCCACTTCTGGCCTCTACAGACACTAGGCATGGTAAAAACAGGAAAACCACTAATACACATAAAACAGCAATAATAAAATTTCTCAAAAAAACTTGTGTGTGTAAGAGGGAGGGAGGGAGGAAGGGAAGGAGGGAGGGAGGGAGACAGAGGCAGAGAGAGAGAGAGAGAGAGGAGAGAGAGAGAGAGAGAGAGAGAGAGAGAGAGAGAGAGAGAGAGAGAGACTGACTCAAGTGCCACAAGAAGTGTGGAGGCCGGAGGGTAACTTTTCTAAAGTCTGTTCTCTTCTTCCCCTATGTTGATAAAAAGGAACAAACTCAGCTTTGTAGTCTTGGCAGCAGCCTTTTTATCCACTGGCCCATTATTTCCAAATAAACCTTGTGCAGAGAGCTGATGCTCAAAAGACTGCAACAAGGAAGCTGTTCTGCTACATAAGAAACCACTATCCAGAGCAGTTCATCTTGACTGGTTTATTGCCAGATGTCATAGAAACTCGAACTTCCTGTCAGAGGGTAGATCTCTTTTCTGGTCTCACTCTTCACCCCGACAGAAACAAGGTCTCACTATATAGTTGACACTGGCCTCAAATTCACAAACATTCTGTCTTACCCTCACAAGATCTGGGATTATAGGTGGGAATGACCATAAATACTATTTTCTACTTCTATTTTTTTTTTTTTTTTGGAGATAGGGTTTCTCTGTGTAGCTTTGGCTGTCCTGGCACTCACTCTCTATAGACCAGGCTGGCCTTGAACTCAGAGATCTGCCTACCTCTGTCTAACAAGAGTTGGGATTAAAGGCATGCACCATCAGTGCCCTACTTACTACTTTCTAAAAATCTATTCTACTAAATTATGAATAACATATAAAAACTTTACATACTTTATATATATACTATAAATAGAAGTTGAGACAAAAAAAAAGCCTCATCTCCTTGAATTGTTTTTTTTTCTTTTTTTGGATTTTATTTATTTATTATGTATACAACATTCTGCTTCTATGTATATCTGCACACCAGAACAGGGCACCAGATATCAAACTCGATGGTTGTGCACCACCATGTGGGTGCTGGGAATGGAACTCAGGACCTTTCGAAGAGCAGTTGGTGCTCTTAACCTCTGAGCCATCTCTCCAGCCCCTTAAATTGTTTTTAAATGTTTGCATTTTAGATTAAGTTAATTTCACCTCTTATTTAACCTCTTTATATACATGAGAAAGTTCAAGAACATTTAAACGAAATTTGAACAAAAATCCACAACTGTGTTGCCAGTATAAAGGAAAGTTATGGATAAATCCAATTATTTAGAAAATAAATACACTCTAATCATTAAAAAAGAGGGAGCATTGCCGGGCGGTGGTGGCACACACCTTTAATCTCAGCACTCCGGAGGCAGAGGCAGGCAGATCTCTGTGAGTTTGAGACCAGCCTGGTCTACATGAGCTAGCTCCAGGACAGTCTCCAAAGCCACAGAGAAACCTTGTCTTGAAACCTCCCCCCAAAAAAGAAAGAGAGAGTATTACTATTTTTTGTTTACGTTAATGAGGAGCTGATCTGTGTGCTCAATAAAAAAAGAACTACCACTGAGAGATAAAGTGTTGCCTTTTAAGAAAAATGTCCCTAAACAGAACATGGAAATCACAACAGCTGAGAGATGACTGTTTGTACACATTTAATACTATGAAAACAGCACACCCACTCTGCACAAGGGCACAGAAAAAACTCTTACTCAACAAGAAAAAATTATAAATCTTTTTTACCTGTTGTTTCCTAAATTCTCAAGGCAGCCTTCAATGAATCTCATTCGAATCTGCCTATCTGTAAACCAACAAACCAAGGAACAAAGAAGTTTCTCTGCCTCATTTATTAATCCTTCAGAAAGATTAACCTACAAAAAATATATATAGTTATTGCTTAACTTGATTGTATTTTGCTATAATTTTTGTATCTTTTGAATTTATTATACAACTTACTGCATCATCATCTTGCACTATATCCCATAATAAAGTGTTTCCTTTCTTGCAGACATTATCCAAATTAATGTCTGTCACAGCATTACTGTTGAACTGATGCTTATGGACTGCGGGTCCTAAAAGGACAGAAGATAACACAATTATAGAGGAAGGCAGCTTAGTGTAATCAGATATTAACAATTTGTAAATTACCAAATCCAAGTAAAGAATAAACTGAGATGATAAAAAGTATTAGCATAATTATTTCATTAATGAATGAACATCTATAGGTCTGTTTATAATTAAGGCTAAAGTGAAATAATAGTTTTATTTCTATTGTCTCTACCTTTTTAATAGACACAAATATATCATATCAAAAGAAATGTATCAATACCTGGACTCTTATGAAGTATATAACTTATCTGAAATAAGACCTTAATCAATGGACATTCTGGTAGATGACCTTAGGTACAATCATTTAAAGTCCTTAGTTTTTTTTTTTTTTTTTTGGGGGGGGTGTTCTTTCTATCTAATTTTTGTCTATCTATCTATCTATCTATCTATCTATCTATCTATCTATCTATCTATCTATCTAATTTTTGTGGCCCAATCACTGTATACCCCCTTGCTCTTCTCCCAGTCCCTCCCATGTCACCTCCCCTCTCTTTCCCCCATCTATCCCTCCTCCATTTCTATTAACATATGGGCCAGCTTCTGATGGGTTATCAGCCAAACATGGCATATCAAGTTGAATGCTTGATGAGGCAACTCATTATGAGGGTAAGGGTCCCAAAGGCCAGAACAAGAGTCAGAGATAGCCCCTGCTCCCACAGTCAGGAGTTCCACAAATAAGATTCACATCTATTACCCTTAATAAAACTCAAGTCCAAGTGGATCAAACACCTCAACATAAAACCAGAAACATTGAACCTATTATAAGAGAAAGTGGGGAATCACCTTGAATGAACTGGCACATGAGACAATTTCCTGAACAGAACACCAATCGCAAAGGCACTAAGATAAACAATTAACATACAGGATCTCATGAAACTGAAAAGTTTCTTTATGGCAAAGGACACTGTTGATAGCACAAAACAGCAGCCTACAGAATGGGAAAAGATTTTCACTAATACCACATCAGAATGAGGGCTAATTTCCAAAATATATAAAGGACTCAAGGAACCAGACATCAACAAACCAAATAATCCAAGTAAAACATGGGGGATAGATCTAAACAGAGAATTCTCAACAGGAGTCTCAAATGACTAAGAATACATAAAAAAATGCCCAACATCCTTAGCCATAGGAAAATGCAAATCAAAATGACTGAGATACCATTTTACACCTGTCAGAATGGCTAAGATCAAAAACACAATGACAGCTCATGCAGCAAAGGATCTGAAACACGGTGAACACTCCTCCATTGCTGGTGGGAATGCAAACTTAGACAGCCACTTTGGACATCAATATGGCAGTTTCTCAGAAAAGTGGGAATTGATCTACCCCAAGACCTACCTATACAACTCCTGGACATATAACCAAAGGATACTCCACCATACCACAAGAACACCTGTTTCTTATTTTGTTTTGCTTTTTCTTTTTAAAAATGAGGAAAAGGTTGAGCAAAGTAGTATATTGTGTATGTACCTTTAATTCCAGCACTCAGAAGCAGAGGCACATGGGATCTCTGTGAATTCCAGGTCAGCAAGTTACCCGGTAAGATCCTGTGATCTCCTACCCCCACCATCCCAGGCAAAAAGAAAGACAGGGAAAAGAGCACTGGCTGTTTTTCCAAAGGAACCAGATTTGATTGCCAGCACCCACAGGTGATTCACAAATGTTTTGTTAACTCCAGTCCAGTATGATAAAATCTTCTGGCCTCTAATGGCAGCGCTTGCACATTGTGCATAGACATACATGCTGGCAAAAACCCACACACATAAAAATCATTTTTAAAACAATATATTGGATGATTTACTTCAACAGCCAACTTAATCAAAAGATTCTAATATAACAAATGAGACTTCTTAATAAAACAGTTCTCCAAAGTCACTTCCTACTGTTGTACATTCTTTTAATTTTTTTTAGGATTTATTTTGATGTTATGAACATTGGTGTTTTGCGTGCCTGCGGGCGTGCGTTCGTGCGTGCGTGCGTGCGTGCGTAGCAGGGAGCCATATCCCCTGAAATTGGAGTTGTCAGACATTTGTGAACACCCCATGAGTGTTAGCAATAGAATCTAGGTCCTATGGAAGACAAGTCAGTGATCTTAACCACTGAGCCATCTCTCCAGTCCCCGTTGTACATTTTTAATGTCAGTCCTGAAATTTATCCATTCTAGTATGTAACTCATTTAGGGTATAATATATACTATATACTATAATCATTTCAAATCTTTTGTCTAAGTTTTTTGTTGTTTTGGAGGAAGTGTTTTAACTATACTGTTCAAGTTGACTTCAGATTATTCAGCTATGGAAATCATCCTACATCAACCTTCTGACAACCTGAGAATATAAGCTGTATGCCATCTGCAAATTTAACTATTTGTCTCAATGTGTGTGAGGGGTTCATTAGAATACTAAAACTTTTGTTAACATGAGTTTGGAGCATTAAAATCTAACTTCATATATTTAAAAAATGTGTGTAAAACACTAGCTAATTAAAAGGGAAGTAAGTAGCCAGGCGTTGGTGGCACATGCCTTTAATCCCAGCACTTGGGAGGCAGAGGCAGGCGGATCTCTTGAGTTTGAGACCAGCTTGGTGTGTAAGAGGTAGTTCCAGGACAGCCTCCAAAGCTACACAGAAAAACTCAAACAACCAAATTCGGGGGGGAAAAAAAAAAAAGGAATAGTAACAATTTGATAAACATGGCATCAAATTCATTCTCCTGGTCTCAAACTACTTTGAAACAACATAACCACAACAATACTATTTCTACAGTCTGGTGATGATCTTTTATGAAAAATCCAATCTACCTGGTTTGCTTATATTGTAAGTGCTCTATAATTCCAAAACCTAAATTGGTTTAGCACTGGTATGTGTTGATGCTATATTATCAAGAAAAGGGTTAAATATCTTTAAATTGCCAGTTCTAAAAATTATTTTCCCTTTTTCTTCTATTTTTTTCCTCTTTCTCCCTTATTCTTTTACTCAATCATCACCTTTTTCTATTATTTTGTTGTATGGAGATAGAGGCTTGCTTTCTATATAGTACAAGCTGGCCTCAAATTTTAAGATTCCCTACTTAAGTGATAGGACTACAGGCATAGCTCTATTACTCTTTAACCTTTGTCTCCATTCTTTCAAATCTGGTCAGGTTCTATTACTTAAATTCAATTTAGAGTGATCTGATCAACCATTTCTCAAACATTTGCATTACCAGATGAAGAACAGTGAGTGTTCTTTTATCTTCCCAACCCTTCCTAATGCCAAGCAATCTGTACCTCTGTCTTTCTAAATCTGATCACTCTAGACACTTCACAGAAATGGAATCATACATACTATGTGATGATCTTTTCTGCTGTATTTATCTGTGGGTCTTAAGTTTCTAAAAATAAAATGTACCTTAAATACATTTTCCAGAATATATACTTTCCTTATCATTAATATGCATTGTCTTTCTCAGTTGAACATCATTGGATGAAAATATACTCAACAGAATATTTGCTAAAAATACAAGGAGCACTTGCTTCTAAGACCCCAGTAGCACAAATAAACAAAAAGGCCTCATTTATTCCCACGATAGAGTACTTATACATGGTTCTATTATGTTGACAAAAAAAAAAAAAGGCTGTTCTTTAAGTTATTTTGTCAAAACCATTTAAATATAACATTAACAGTTTATTCTTTTTAGCCACGCAATTAAATTAGTCCTGGTTTGATCAAGGTAATATTTACTTACTATAGAATCTTACCTTGACTAAGATGTTCATGATAAATAGATGCTAAATTGGGAAGATGTTGTTGGAGATGAGATGTTAGTTCTGCATGTGAATTTATCTGAACTAGTTCCTCTTCACATCCAGACTCTTCACCATCAAAATCAGCCATATTTTTTTCTGATTTTGCACTGACCTGCGAGCTACTGCAACTGACATCATCTGCACTTAGCATATCATCAACCATATGTCTACAACACACAGAAAACCATAAACTTAGTAATTATACACATTTTTATCTGTTTATTCATTTGGTGCTAGTGACTTAAACCCAGATCCTATTACAGGCTATGTGAGCATTCTACCACTGAGCTATGTCTAGCCATTGAAACTATAAATTTAATCAAATATCATAAACAATTGTTTTACTTGTTTTTCCAAAAACAGTCTTGCTGTGTAGCTATGGCTATCCTGGAAATCACTATATAGACCAGACTAGTCTCAAACTCAGAGATCCACCTGCCTTAGCCTTATTGAGTACTGAGATTATAGAAGTACGATAGTATGCATTGCTATAAACTGTTTTTTTTTTTTTAAATCTCTCCTATGACATTTAGTACAAAGTATTCCACAATCAGAAATAAAGCTGTGTGGCATGTGTAGAATAGGTAGGTTGAAACATTTTAACAATATGAAATATTGAGAAATAAACTAAAACTACAGACTCCAACATATGTTCTAGTTAATTTTATAATGTATATCCATCATAGTCTATAATATATGCATATTAACATACCTCATTACAACAATTTCAAAAAGAACCATTTTAGTTAATATTAGTAATACTCACTATGTACTATTACATAAACTCAATTTTACAATGTGAAACCATAAGTTTTCTTTATATTTGCTCATGCAAGTGCATTATCAAATGATATAGTAGGTAATAGAAAACATTCCAACTTAAGGCAACAATTTAGGGAAGTTATTATTTGAGGAGAACTCAAAGTATAGATCAACAGTACACCACAAACAACATGAACTGCACGTTGCATTTAATCCTCAGTACCACAAAAAAACTTCAATTCTCAAATTCATTTCCTTTAACTTAACAAAGAGCTGTTTAAGTGGCACATATTTCTAAAGTAATATCACACTGGATATTTTTCAAGATTGAGACAAAATGATGAAAAAAAAAAAGGTCAGGATTAATACAAAGCCTCACAATTCATATCGTATCTACAGAATATAGAAACGGCTTAAGGAAAATTTCAATTAGTAAAACTTGTGTGGTAAACATTTAAGATCAACAATTTTGAGTTTTTAATATTAAATGAGTCAGTATATAAAAAATCCAATCTTTGAAACTAAATGTACTGACTGCACCTTTGTTTTATCCCACACTATCTACTTTATGGTCATCATGAGTACTGCTAGGGACAATTTGTAATATGTACATCTATAATACGAGGTAAAAGCCAAATGTTCTAATTAGTGGTGATTTGGCTCCCACAGAGATATTTAACAATGTCTACATTTTTTATTTTTGTTATTTTTACAAATGATAGGCTACTGGCATCTACTAACAGAGCTGAGGATATTGCAAAAGCACAAACTATCCAGGAAGTATTCAGACAGGAATTCAAAACAAAAGAATCATCTAGTTCAAAACAACAACTGTATCAAGAAGAAAAACACTGCCTTGAGCTGGAGAGATGGCTCAGCAGTTGAGAGCCCTGCCTGTTCTTCAAAGGACCAAGGTTCAATTCCCAGCACCCACATGGCAGCTCACAACTATCTATAACTCAGTTCTAAGGGATCTAACTCCCTCACACAGACATACATGCAAGTAAAACACCAATGTACATAAAATAAAAATACATCATCACAAAAATTAAAGGAACAGACCCTTAAAATTTTGAATGCTTTTATGATGAGAATAAAATGGAAGTAATATAACATATATACATATATAATTCATTTAACTAATCTGAATTCTGGAAAATCTAGTAAAATAGCAAGTCTTTCTAAGAAAATTTATCCTGATAAACAGAACATTTGTCTCACCATCAACCCAAAAGTGATACTGACAATAATTGACAAGTTAAAAACTAATTACACATTTGTGGCAATCACAGTAGCCCAAGATAGTTTGTTTTTTTGGTTTTTTTTATTAAAAAGGTTTCCAGGCATGGTGCCATGATAGTTTTTTGGTTGTTTGGTTTTAGTTTTTTAAAAAGGTTTACAAGGATAGTGACACAAGCCTGGAATTCCAAGCATAGGCAGGTAGATCTCTTATGAGTTTGAAGACAGCTTGGTCTACACAGTAAAAAAAGGAATAAGAAAATAAAAACTTAGTCCTACCTAATACTACAAGTATCAGAATCATTTATGGTTAAATACAATAAATATATTTCACAAACACAAAAACCATTTACCACAGCTATCCTTACTAGTATTCTAAAATTAGAAGGTCAATGTTTTTCATCAACATTTGAGTTTCCACAAGCAATCTTGCATGTACTTTCATGAAATTTCTATAAAAAGAATGGAGGATACAAATTTATGCTACTTAGTACAATATTTGCTATGTCCATGTGGCAATTACACAGGAGAAAAATGGCCATTTTAAATAGAGATGTATTATGATTTTAGCAATATGAACTAAGGGGAGTCAAGGATATAGCTAGGTATCAGATGCTTGCATAACATTTGCAAAGCACTGGATTTAATTCCAAGCTCTGCAAAAGAAAACATACATGTGATAGTGAATACTTAAATAGAAAATGAAAAGCATTCAGTTTTTATATTGGTTAATGAGGTTATGATCTTTTAAGTATTACTTGCATAAATAAAATATATAACTAAAATGAGCCTTTTTTCAGTCCTGTGGATTGAACTCAGGTCCTTGAGGTACACTAGCAGCAATCACATTCTTGACCTTCATTTTGCATTTTTTAAGTTGATGACAATAAGCTTAACATTATCTATTTGAGAATTACATTTGTATTTTTGCATTATATTACTCCTAAATAATACTTAACTAAAATAAATAGTAATTGAAGAAGTAGTAACAGTATTTCACTACAAGAAATACAAATAGAGCATTTATTTTCAAGCATGCTTACCCATCATGATGGTGGTGGTGGTGGTGGTGGTGGTGGTGGTGATGGTGGTGGTGGTGGTGGTGGTGGTGGTGGTGCTGTGGACCAATAAACTGCCGACAATTAAACAATTCATTCCCAATAGTCTCCCCAAGGAAGTCCCCGCTTCGTGTGATACAAGACTCCTGAGAACCTTGTGCTATGTGAGCAGAACTCATTTCCGCTGAAATATCATGCTCTGGGTCTTCAGGGTGAGCACAGGCATCTAGCATTCGTATTCGATTATCTACAGATGGCAATGACTCAGTATTAAAAACCAGGTCCTTTCCTGTTCCACTGCTTGTCCCATTTCTTTCAGATGTGCCTTGGGATTCCCCCAAGCAAATGCCCGCTTGATTTTCTAACTTTCTATTTCGAAGTTCTGTACCACAACTATTTTTGGGAGGATTGTGACCATGATCATCATCATCATCTTCTTCTTTAAGGGCTTCAATGTCTGCAATGTCTTCTGATTGCACCTCACTTCCAGGGCTGCCAGCTGACTGGCTTGCATGGCTTGAATTGACTTCATTGCTAGATCCATCACTGTGCCCACTACTGCTACCAGGACCACTGCTTCCATCTTCACCACTGTTAGCAGTTTCATCAGAACTTCCTTGCATGGATTCCTATATTTACAAACAAATACATTTAAAAATCCAGACCACTGAAAAAAAAACTGGCATGCAGATAGTGTGTTAATATGTTTGAAACATTGCATTTATTTATTGTGAGTGATTCTATGCACATGTGCTATGGAATGATGTGGAGACCAAGGACAGCTTGCAGGAGTTGCTTCTCTTCTACTGTGGATCCCAGGGATCCTCCGTTTGTCAGATTTGATGGCAAGTATCTTTATCTCTTAGATATCTTTATGCCCCACAACAAGCATTTTGGTTTGTTTGTTTAGTTGATTGTTTGGTTGGTTTTTCAACATAGGGTTTCTCTGTGTAGCCCTAGCTATCCGGAAAATGGAACTTGCTCTGCAGACCAGGCTGACTGAAACAAACATTAAATATGCTGGTAGCAGTCCTGCCATATTTGTTTGAATACAAATAAATATAAACCTCAAAGGACGTCCAAAGTGCTATGCAAAGAAATCCCAGAGTGGTATTTATGTCCCCAGTTCAAAGAACAAACACAGCACAGATTTTCTAAATCCTATTACAGGAGACAATGCATTTACTCACCTCTGTGTCAGAGAGTCGCTGCTGCACATGTTTGGTTCTATTAATAAGCTGCTCATCCATTTCAATGTCACTGGCTCCACTCTGATGTGTATCACTGTTGTCACTACTTTGAGGACTTGCTGCAGGAGACCCTAAAATAGATTTTTAAATTTTTATTTCTAATTTAAATTAGCATGTATCTGATAAGACACCAAGCTTTGATTCCTTGAGTTACTTATCAAAGCTTATGCTAACCAGCCAAAAATAACAAGCTCTAAATTTGTTGTTTCTAAAGAAGACAAACATAATCTCAAATAAAATCTAGCTACTAATGATTTAAACAAACTGGTAAGATGAAATATGGGGCTATAGCCCAGTGGTATAGTTGTTTGCTGTCAAGCAGGCTTAAGAGTTGAAAACAAAACAAAAAGGTAAGGTAAAATTGTGGCTTGAGCATACACTGCATAAACATATACACTACATAAAACCAATGAGTTCAAAGATCACCAAAACTCCAAGTCACACTGTCATGCATTTCTAAGGCTCAACTTACAAGGTGAAGGAGCTGCTCTTCTCAGCTCTTCTTCTTCTGAAGGAAAACGAAAAAACAGGAGGGAAACATCTAAGTGACTGAGCTTTTCTGAGGCAGCACAGACATTGTTTATGTATGTAAGATACATATAGGGAAACCTGTTATTATTGTGGGTGTCTGTACAGAAAAACAGTATATAATGTAAAAAGACTGGGCTTAAGTGCAGAAAGTTTTAGATACTCCTTCAAAATTACACATACATGCAACCAATAAGTTAGAAAAAAGATATACAAAAACCAAAAAGAGAACTGTTATATCTTAATCTTAAGATTGCCTCTAGCAGAACACTTTGTTCTTTTTCCACAAAAAAAATCAAACATGAGAAAATTTACAAACTTCTGAAAAAATGTACATTGTTTGAAGGTTAAATAAAAAACATTAACCAAAACTACTTTATTAATCATTTGATACATAGCCTATTTCCTATTCCAAATAGGAATCCCATCCCAATTTCACTTAAAATGAAGGAAAACTTGTGAGTACACGTTGAGTATCATTTATCTAAAATGCACAGGATTTTAATATGTCTCGGTTGTGCTTATTCTAAAATTCTAGAAGTCTAAACACAAAATTTATCTTTGATTCATATACTTCTTTAAAGATTTATTTATGTATTTTATGGATGTAAGTGTTTATTTGCATGTATGCCTGCATGACAGAAGAGGGCAATTGGATCCCATGGTTGTGAGCCACCATGTGGTTTCTGGGAATTGAATTCAGGACATATGGGAGAGCAGCCAGTGCTCTTAACTACTGAGCCACCTTTCCAGCCCCATAATTCATGTATTTCTTATACAAAACTTTCATTTTCAGGCCAAAAATAGCTTCACATATTATCTGCAGTACACTTATGTCTAGAAGGTGATAGTTACAAAAGTAAAGATGTAGGATTTGAGTGTTTTGAATTTTCAGATTACTAGTGTTAAAACTGCACTAGCAGAAAATATTTGACACCTTAGTAATAAAGGCATAAGCCTGTACAAGTTATCTAAAATCATAATATATATGACTAACCTTTTTTATTTCCAATGGGCACATTAGTGTTTAATAAAGATGCAAACGAACTCTGTTTAGATAGTTGGGCCTTAGCTGCAAGTGCATTATTCCACAAAGCTTTAATTAACATGGATGCCAAGTAAAGTGTCTAAAAGAGAAAGATTAAGGTTAGAGGATCTGGGGCAGACATACAAGAAATTTAGCACCTTTAAAAATTCTAAATGAAATTTAATCAGTACATAAACTACAATCAAAACTATCTGAACAACTAAGCAAAATGATGTGTAGGAAACAAAATATATGAATATATTCTCAATGCATTACCTGTTCAGTATGAACACTTGGCTCAAGAGCTGAGACCAGATTAAGTAAATGTCTAAGTGGTACAGGATCCAGATTCTTGATGAGTGAGGGAAATAAGTCATGAATATATCGACTACAGTGCTTCAGCTATAAAATAAGGAAACAAAGTTTAACAAGTTCCCCTGAGAAAATTAATTAATTGATCATATTAAAAAGCTAGGTTGTAAAGTCAACAAAAATTTTACATATTGGTAAAAGACTAATTGCTGAATAACATAAATGGGCCTATTTTTAAAAATTGAAAACAAAATTGAACTGACTTATCTTAAGCAAACAAACATCTCTAGTCAGAAATGGGAAGCATGTAATATTTAAATTTTCAGAAGTCTAATATAAAAAAAGATTCCAGTATCATTAATATAAAAAATCTAAAAGGGCTTAGGGAAATAGCTCACAGATAGAGTACATGTTAGAGTGTGAAACCCTGGTTTGATCATGAATACTAAAAATAATGACTATAGGGCTGAGAGATGGCTCACAGGTTAACAACATTGAGGTTAGGAGCACTGGCTGCTCTTTCAGATGTTCTAAGTTCAATTCCCACCACCCACCACCCACATGGCAGTCCACAGTCATCTATAATGATTTCCAATGCCCTTTTCTGACATGCAGGCATGCATGCAGACAGAATACTATATACATAATAATAAATATTTTTTAAATGACTATAAGAGGCAATTAAAACCAAGAAGAGGGCTAGAGAGATGGCTCATCAGCACCTGGCTGCTCTACCAGAGGACTGGGGTTCAATCCCTAGAACCTACATGGTTGTTGATTGCTACATGTGACGCCAATTTCAGGGAATCTGACACCTTCATACAGACATACATACAGATAAAACACAAATACATATGAAATAAAAATAAATAATTAAAAAAAAAAGTCAGGCAGTGGTGCGCACGCCTTTCATCAGAGCACTTGGCAGACAGAGGAAGTCTGTTCTATAATGACAGCTCCAGAAAAGTCAGGCTGTAACACAGAGACCTTATCTCAAAAAAAAAAAAAATAAATAAATCAATAATAATTCATAAAATGTTTTTAAAAATTAAAAACCATGCAAGATGCAAAATGTTTTCAGGCAGCTTCTATTCCACTTACTAAAATTTTTACAATTATTTACAATTTCTAAAGAACACACTAGTAATTATTCTCAAAATAATCTACTAACAAACCAAATGATATAAAAAATTCTGGACTGGTTGGTAGTAGCACACGCCTTTAATCCCAGCACTTGAGAGACAGAGGCAGGGAGAACTCTTGTGAGTTTGAGACCAGCCTGGTCTATAAGAGCTAGTTCCAGGACAGGCTCCAAGGCAACACAGAGAAACCCTGTCTGTCTCAAAAAGCCAAAAATAAATTAATAAATAAACAAATAAAGGCAATGAAGGCCAGCAAGATTGATTAGCAGCTAAATATGCTTGCAGCCAAGCCTGACAACCCGAGCTCAATCCCCAATACCTACATGGTGTAAGGAGAGAGAAGAGATCTACAATTTGTTCTCTCACCTCCACATACATGCCCTTCCCAACTCTAAAAGGGGATTTAAAAAATTCTTCAAGAATACAATGCACAAACAAAAGATCATGCATACAGAAATTACAAAGCAAAAAGTTAAAGGAACACCTAGAGCTGAAAAGTACCACAGCTGAAATATAAAAATACACTACAGGGGTTCAAACATAGGTACGAGTTACAAGAAAGAATTAGGGCAGCTACAGAGATGGCACTTGCTACCCTCACAAAAAATCCAGTCAATAAAGCACACACATTCTAAGTATGAGACCATGATTCACATGCCCAGCATTCATGTAAAAAGCTAGGCATGGTAGTGCACATGTAACCCTAAAACCATCAAAGAGACACAAGAGTCCCCAGGGACTGCGGCCAGACTAGTTTAGCTGATTAAGTGTCCTCCAGGTTAAATGAGAAACCATGCATCCAGAAAATACAAAAATACAGGTAGAGAGCAAGTAAGGAATACACCTAACTAATATGGACCTCAGGCTTTCACATGCACATACTTGTGCATAACTATAAGCAAATGAGCATGTATATACTCGAATACACCACAGAGACAGAATTAAAAGAAAACAAACAAACAAAAAAAAAAATGACTGAATCCCAAATAACTAGTCCCCAAAAACAAATACATGAAAAACCAAGGGAAAGTGACTCCCACCTCCTGAAATTAATTAGAATACATTAATAACCTCCATACAGAAAAAGTCAAAGTAATTAAAAAAAATATGGGCTAAGAAATAACTCAACAGTTAAGAGTACTGGCTGCTCTTCCAGAGAACCTGGATTTGATTCCTAGAACCTACACAGTGGCTCAAAACCTTCTCTAATTCCTGTTACAGGGCATCAGACACTCCCTCATGGCCCTTTGGGAACCAGGCATGTAAGTGGTACACAAACATACGGTCCGGCAAAAAATCCACACACATAAAACAAACAAAAAAGGCTAATGTTTAAAAGAGGCAACTAACTGTTGAGAATTCCATACCCATGTTCTCAAGGGTATCTTACTTTCTAATTGAACATTTTTTCCTCTATTAACCCTAGGCTTAAAATCTGCATTAACTGGAATAATAAACTCCAAATGTACTTGAAACGAAGAAACAAAGCATATTCAAAGAAGGTAGGGAGCACAACACTTCTCCAAAATCTACCAATGGCCTAAAATTTTAACCAATTAGACAATTCCAAAGAATTAAAAGAACATTGAAAAATGTTTAAAGAAATGAAAAAGGCCATGAATAAACTCCTGTATGGCTTTCAAAAGAACACACACTGAATAAAATAGTCAACAAAGGATATGAAAATTATATTCAATAAAGAGATACAAATATGGAGAAAGAAACTAAAAAATGCTCATTAGAAAGCCTCCTCGACAAAATGGATTATAGGGAAGATAGAATATCAGGGATTAAAGAGAAGTTAGAGTAAGCAGTATATTCGGGTAGGGAAAAAAAGCTTTTTCAAGTATGAACAGAAAATACTGTGGGATACAATGAAAAGACAAGATCTACGAATTAAGAACACAGAAGGAAAAGACAAGGATCAGCATTGTAATATATGACAAACTATCATTTAAACAAAATAAAGGCACAGAAAGTATTTTCATTTTAAGCAAAAAGACAAATACCCAAATGTTAGGAGGTTCATCCAAGTACAAAAGGCATCAGAACAGCAGCAAATGCACAGGGCTAGGAGAAAAAAAAAAAAAAGCAAAACAAAACAAAAACCTCCCTATATCATATAATTGAAATATTAAGTATAATTAATTTAAAAAATATATTGAGAGTTACAAGACCAAAAACCCAAGACACAAAGGCCATCTTATCACAGTAACAACTGTTTTCCCAACAGAAACCCTAAGACCTAGAAGGGCGTAAAAATACAAATTTCCAGGTTTTGAAAGACCTTCCCAGGTTACTATACCCCAGCAAAACAGTCATAATCGATAGGGAAAGAAAAATATTCCATGACAAAAGTGGTCTAAGGACGTTTATGACCACTAAGCCAACTCTAAAGAGGATACCCCAAAGAACTAATTAGACTCAAAGAGAATAAGAGGTATTTAAAAAAAAAAAAAAAAATGTTGCAGGCTGGAGAGATGGCTCAAAGTTTAAGAGCCCTGGTTGCTGCTCTTCCAGAGGACCTGAGTTCAATTCCCAGCAATCATATGGTAGCTCATAGCCATCTATAATGAGATCCAATACCCTCTTCTAGCAGGCAGACAAACATACTGACAGAACACTGTACACACAGTAAATAAATCTTAAAAAAAAAAAAATGTTGCAACTGTAGTCAAATGATAATTAGTAAAACATCAAAACTATAAAATGAACATAAGAAAAAGAATTAAGGAACACCTTCCACTATAATAACTATAATTACTAGTGGTTTTAATTAACATAGCTATTAAAGGTTTTAATTCTCAAATTAAAAGACACAGGCTAGCGATTGAGAGATGGCTTAGTGGTAAGAGGACTGGATACTCTTCAAAGTTAATTCCCAGCACCCACATGGAAGCTCACAACTGCCTGTAGCTACAGTCCCAGGGATCAATACCCTCTTTCTGGCTTCCATAGGTACTGGATGCAGATGGCACACAGACATAACATGCAGGCAAAACAACCATACATATAAAAACTTTGCTTGTGTTGTTTTGGTTTTTTCAAGACAGGTTTTCTATGTATAGCCCTGGCTGTAGACCAGGCTGGCCTCGAACTCAGAGATCCACCTGCCTCTGCCCTCCTGTGTACTGGAATTAAAGGTGAGCTCCACCACTGCCTGGCTACCAAAAAAAAAAAAAAAAAAAAAGATAGAGACTAGCAAATTAGATGAAAAGACAGGATTCATCCATTTGTGTCTCCAAAAAAGACCTTGCCATTAAGCAAAGACTGTTTTAGGATGAAAGAATGACAAAAAATTATTACAAAGCAAATGCAAATGGAAAAAGAAAGGATCTACACTGCAGTATATCAAACAATAGACTTTAAACCTAACCGATGAAAAAAGATAAAGCAGGTTATTTTAGCCAGGTGTGGTGGCAGAGGAAGGCAGACCTCTAAGGTTTGAGGGCATCCTGGTCTACATAGTCAGTTCCAGGGTAGCCAGGTCTATATATTGAGAGAAAATGTTATTTAATGTGTAAGACCATAAGGCAGTGGTTCTCAACCTGTGGGTCGAGACCTCTTTGAGGGTGGGGGGGGTGTCAAGCAACCTTTTCACAGGGGTCACCTAAGACCACTGAAAAACACAGATATTTCTATATTACAATTCATAACAGTAGCAAAATTACAGTTATGAATAGCAACAAAAAAAAATTTATAGCTGGAGTCACCACAACATGAGGAACTATATTAAAGGGTGGAGCATTAGAAGGTTGAGAATCACTAGCCCAAGGGGAGTTAGGGGATAGGTAAGAATGTGAATGTGAAAGAAGACCCAGACTATAGACCATAAAGTAAGCAATCCCTGACATATACCATGACTATACAAACAAGTAAGTAAGGCAGTCTATAAACTTTACAAAACAACCAAAATTAAATGGGTACCGATGTCAGTGAGGAAATGATGAGTTACTGAACAAATGAATCTGGGTGAAATACATAAAATAAATAATAGACAAATTGGATCATCCCTTGAGCAAATTGAGAGCACGGGAAGAGGGGAGAGGGAGCTAGGAGAATGAGAAGGGAAGAAGAGGAAGGATGCAGAGGTCATGAGGGAGCAGAAAGGTTGAGTTGGGGAAGAATAGAAGAAAGGATATATGATAGGTAGGGTTTTGGTTGGGGTGGGGTGGTAGGGGAGGATGGGAGGGAGAAGGGAACTGGGATTGTCATGTAAAACAATATTGTTTCTAATTCAAATTTAAAAAAACTGAAAAAAAAAAGAAAAATTGGATCATATATGATACCTTAAACAAAAATAAATTTTAATCAAACGCAAGATGAAAATATAAAATGCCAACAAAAATACACAGGAAAAATCAAGAGGATAATTAATCTTTTTATGATAACAGCTTAGAGTGCTCAGCAAGGGCAGATGATTCAGATCTTCGTAGGCCATTGTGAGTATTTGGGTTTTAGCAATGGTGACTCTAGTGAAGGTTTCAAGTAGATGAATAATAATTTTGTTTTGTTTTGTTTTGTTTTTGTTTTCTTTTTCGAGACAGGGTTTCTCTGTGGCTTTGGAGGCTGTCCTGGAACTAGCTCTTGTAGACCGAGCTGGTCTTGAACTCACAAAGATCCACCTGCCTCTGCCTCTGCCTCTCGAGTACTGGAATTAAAGGCGTGATCCACCAACGCCCGGCTGAGAATAATTAATCTTAAAGAAATAAAAGCATCTTATAACACAAATGTCACAGGCCAGAAAACATTCAATCACAAACTTTAAAATGAATACCATTGTTGTGTAGGCATAGATAAATAAAATGAATACATAGGGGCTGAAGATATGGCTCAGAAGTTAAGATCACTCACTGCTCTTCCAGAAGATCCAAGATCCATTCCCAGCACCCACGTCAGACACCTCACAACCTCCTATAACTCTAGTTCCAGGCAATCCAATGCACCCAGCCACCCACACCAAGATATACACATATATACATAACTAAAGTAATAAAAAATGAATTATTTAAAAAGTTAAAATCAAATGACAATCACTTTAGCAAACACTTGTCCAGATACAAGAGGAACTGGGTTTGAGTATGAACACCACATACACACTATCAAAAAAATAAATGACCCAAGGATCACCAAGATGATTCAGTGAGAAAAGACATCTTCCACCAAGCCTAATCTGAGTTTGATTCCCAAGACGCAGTTGATAGAAATAATCACAAGTTGTCCTGACTTCATGTACATGCCATGGCAAATGAGCCCCACCTCAAACAAATAAATGTTTAAAAAAGGATACACAAAGCAACTAATAAACATCCAAGAATATAAGCAGATATTCCCAGAAAATAAAAACTAGCTCAACTTCACTCATGATACAATAAATTCAAAATAAATTACTAATTATCTCTTCTCATACATCAAATTAGCCTTTCCAAAAAAAAAAAAAAAAAAAAAAAAAAAAAAAAAAAAATCAGGCTTAATGACAGTAGCCAAAGGAAGCTGAGGAAAAAGTGGCTCTGCCCTATTAGTATTCACAAGAAAAGCTCATGTTTTAGCATACTAATTCTACCTCAGGAGGAATTAATCCTATATAAAAATTTTGCATGAGTAACAAATAACTAGCAGATACTATCACAGTATCCTTTATAATAGAATGACAAGGAGAAAACATGTCCATAAATGGAATTGATTAATTATACCTCATCTAAATAATGACACACCACAGTCTTAAAAAGAATATTAACCAGGGTACAGAGATGGCTCCCTGATTAACAGTGCATACTACTCTTGCAGAATATTTGGGTCCAGCTCCCAGCACTAACACAGACGCTCACAACTGCATCACAACACCAGTTTTTTGCCTCCACAGACGTCTGCACACACATGGTACACATATAGGCTCACACACAAACACACATAAATTAAAGAGAAATCTTTTATAAACTATTTAATGATAGATTAGATTAGGCAGACACACAGAAAGACACCTGGGTTTAAACTGTTAGCTCATGCCTATAAACCCTACACTCAGGAAGCTAAGGAAAGCTTAGTTCTGTGGTAGCCTCATTTATATAGAAGTATGTTTTCAGAAAAATGAAACTGAGAATAAAAAATAAAACACAAGTCTGTTGGTATGCATTACTTATAACAAAAAACAAAAATATATATAGTGAGCTATGTGTATGTCTGACTTAGCAAAGAGGATTAAAAAAGCTTCTTAAAAATCTAAGGCAAAGAAAATGACAAATACTTCTGGTATTTGGGGGATTCTGGGACCAGTATCATGTAGAAACTAAGGAGATGGCTATTGGACTTTTGGCTCGCTATTTTTAAATATGTACATGTGGATTTCTGTTCGAGTGTATGACATGTGCGTGCAAGTTTTCTCAGGCATTTGCAAGCCACTTGACCTGGGTTTGGGAACCAACACCTGAGACCTCCAATAGCAAGTAATTTTAACCTCTGAGCCATCTCTCCAGCCATACTTAATATTTACTTTTACATTTTAGATTTGTGGAAAAAAATAGCAGAACATCAAAAATGTTTAATCCCAACACTCAGGAGAATAAGGCAGTGGATGGCCATCCAGAGCTACATAGTGAGACCCTGGTTGGAAGCAAGGAAAGGAGGCAGGGAGGAGGCAGGGAGGGAGGGAGAAAAGGAGGCAGGGAGGCAACCACGAGGTGGGGAGGGGGGCATAGGGGAATAATAGGAAAATGTCTCTTTATTAAAACTGAGCAGTTTCCTTAAGTTCTAATGATTCTAATAGCCTATATTAAATCAGTTACACAATAACACATGAACTCAACCCAAACCCAGAGGTTCCTATCACATCTTTCTCATATCTTGGTTTCCTTTCATAAATAGTAGCATTTAAAACATTTTTAAAAAGTGTTAAGTAAATATGAAATGTTAGTATCACCTGTGCTGCAGCCCAAATGCAGTCAATATGCTGAGTACTCAATCGTCCTTCTGCTGCCAAGAAATTCAAAATCACTTGGCACTGCTTAATAATCTAAAAAAAGAAAACTTAGTGTAGTTATTTTTTTAAGTACCTTTATATATTACATAACCAATATAATTCTCCACAAACCTCAATATGTAAATTTGGTCCAAATATATGCTCCACTACATTGTTGCTAATAAGCCAGTCAGCAAGTTCCTTTGCAATGGACCTAAGACCAAATGATTGAAAAAATAATTATTAAAGCAATTTTCTCATGTGTAAAAAAATACACAACAGAAAACCTAAATTTAACTCCATATAATACAAGGAAATATAAAAATCATTCACAATACTACAAAGCATAACTAAAATAAACATGCCCTGAATTTATAAACAATTAACTGAAAAGTTAAAGTAACAACACCAGCTACCCAGGTAAGACAACCACATCTTAGACTTTGTTCCCAGGTGTTAATTTCCACAGTAGGCACTGGAGCATTTTGGAAAGACTTCACAATACCACTTCTATAATGAGTTAATCAAAGTAGGAAGTAGTTACCTAAGAGATGAACACATTAAGAATTGTACCCAAGAACAAACTACATGTCTTCTTCCTAATACCAATGAAGTGTTCACTAATGAATGCAGAGGTGATATATACAATTATATTACCTCTTCATTCACTGTATTGTATATATACAATCATAGGCATATAATTAATTATAGAGTGCACAGAAAAAAACACCAAAACAATACTACTAATATATTTTAACTACTTCTGGGTACTTCTACTCAAGATATGACCTATCAGATTAAATTTTGATAATATATGAAATCCATCAAAATAAAATAAAACCTCAACTCTAGCACTTAGGGGTAGAAGCAGGAGCATCACCTTATATTTGAGTCCATCATGATCTATAGTAATCAGTTTTGGGATACCCAAAGCTACATAGTGACTCTTGTCTCAAGAAAAGCAAAACAAAAAGAAAAAATCTGTTTGTTTTGGGCAAAGGTAGGTCATTTTTAGAATGAACATTTACCTTAAGTCTTAAAAACTAGTAGTAGGTAAAGAGATAGTTCCAACTGATAAGATATTGTATAAACAGCATGAGAAAATTTGAGCAAATAGAAAAAGAATGTGTTAGTACTGTTGGAGAGCAAACTGAGTATTTTTCAAAACTGTAAGATACACATTTTTTTAAAAAGATTTTATTTATTTATTATGTATACAGTCTTCTGCCTACATGCCAGCAGAGGGCACCAGATCTCATTAAGGTGGCTATGAACCACCATGTGGTTGCTGGGAATTGAACTCAGGACCTCTGGAAGAATAGCCAGTGCTCTTAACCGCTGAGCCATCTCTCCAGCCCCTAAGATATACATATTACACATACAAAATTTACCTGTTTTGAATGAAATGTTTTCAACACATTTTAATAAACATTTGCATCACTTCAGAAAAAAAACCATTTGCTAATCCATTTGCAGTAAGTCAATCCTTATTCTCATTCCAGCTTTTAGTCTACTTTCTGTCTCCATAATTTATGTAAATGAGATTATATGGCAACATTATTTTTCATTGGGCCTTGTGGAAGGCAGGCAGGTATGTTCTAGGGATTGAACCTATGACCTTTGTGCATGCTACATTCCAAACAATCTTCTGGCACATTGTACACTGTGTGTGCTGCATTTCTATTCAGGTGGATGGTGCATATGCATGCATATATATGGATGCACACATGTGGGGACTAGAGGTTTATGCTGAGTGTCTTCCCCTAACTGCACTCTATCTTATATATTGAACCAAGAACTCACCAATTCAAATTGTTCCAGGGATGCCCTGTCTTTGCCTTCCCAGCCCCAGGATTCCAGCAAGGCCCATTTAGCACTCTATGTGGAGTGGTGATCCAAATTCCAGTCTTTGAGTTTACAAGGCCAGTACTTAACCCACAGAGCCATTTTCCCAGCCCTACAATTATTTTGCTGTACACTGCTGCTCATAGAGGTCAGGAGTGGCAGTCTGAGTCACTTAACCTGAGTCCTCTGGAAGCAACTTTCAAACCACTAAGCATCTTGCCAGCACTGAGGTGTGCATTTAAAAAAAAAAAACAAAACGAAGTTTTATCATATTGTCTGTTCCATACAAATGTAAGCCACAATAGAGATTTCCAATAAACACTTCAAATCAAATAAAGTCACAACTGTATTTACTATATAAACAGTAACAATATGTTATACTTCAGCCAGACATAGTGTTATACACCTTTAATCCCAGCATTCACGAGTCAGAGCCAGACAGATCTGAGGCCAAACATGTCCACACAGTGAGTTCCAGAACAGCCAGAGCTACAGTTTTTTAAAAAAGGATAACTCTATATCAACCAATGCTCCTACTTACGTTTCTGTGTCTGATACCAATGATTCGTTATTGCACACATCATTGAAAGTATGAAGCTGATTCTAAGATCAAAGAAAAGAAATTAAGGTTTGTCTTTTTTAACAACAACAAAAAAAAAACTTGTTAGCAAATGGTCAGAAACACAATAAACTTGTTACATATATAGATCACAACTGATAAGATTACAATTATAAAATGTAAGACATAAAAAAAACTTGAGTATATTACTTTATCATGTTAAATACTAAATTTCTTTGCAAAAGGGACATTTATGCTTTATTTCATTAAACACATCCAAGAAAATAAAGCTGAGTAAGGAAAAAGAGGTAAATCCAATCTAGGTAGAAAAATCAGGTCATTAGGCTTCCTAGGCAAAAATGACTTGGGAAAATGTTAAGAAGCATTTTCTGTGCTTAGAAAACCCAACACCTAGGCAAAATTAGATCACTTTAGATCTTTAGTGTGCTGACATTACAAAAAATAAGAAATGGAAAGTAAAAGCTAGTGAAGACCACAGCAAACTAAGAAAGCACATCCATTCTACAGCAGTCAACTATTTTCAACAAATAGTTCATACAACATGCAAAGTGTTCGCCTATCACCACGTCTTCTAGATATTCAAAAACACAGACTTTAAATTGATTTTCCCCCATCTTAAACAGTACTTAATAATGTACAAAACATACTGCTGTCAGTTAAAATTTGTTTCTGCTATTATCACTAACTCTGGAAAATTATTGCCAATTACTTTTCTGTCCTAAAATGCTAAGTGGAAGGGCATAGCTGTCCCCACCCCTATAATTCAAGTCAGTAAGCAGAGGAGGAAATCGTGAGTTTTAGGCCATCCTGGGTTGTATAGTCAAACCTTGGGTCAAATTCATCATAGTATGTTTTTTTACAAACAACAATAATATAAAAATGTAAAAAAAAAAAAAAATCAGGTGCAGTAGCACACTCCTGGAATCCCAGCAGTCAAGAAGTGCAAAAGGATCAGGTCAAAACCAGCCTTGGTGAGCCAACCAGACTTCAACAGATAGATTGAAACCCATGGTTACATGGACTGTAAACACTAATCACAATAGGTAGCAAAACAAAATGAATAGTCATGAATGTGAAATGTGATATGTGAGGAGAAGGATATGGCAGGGAGCTTAGGGAAGTAGGGAGAGAGTTGTACACGTGTGAAAATATCTAAAAATAATTTATGGAAGCCACAACCGTACACAATGCAAATATCAATGTATTGTGGGGAGCCCCACCTCTTGGATACACTGGCAACATAATATTGTACCCTATGTTCAGGAAACATCACAGAAAAAGGAGTGGGAAGATTGTGAGAGTCAGAATACCAAGAAATTTGCTGTGTCTTTAATAGAATGTCTGCTTAACCAATGGCTGAGCAATGACCATAATTAATTAATTAGACATGCTAATCCAGAACCATCGAAGAATCTCACAGTGTCTCATCCCTAGACTAAGAACTACAGGCAGCTATTGACTGCTGAGAGAGAATTAGGTTCTCAAGAGATGAGCCCTGTTAGGTTTTCTAATATAAAGGGAAGAGCCCTGAAACTACATCCACACAAACAACAAATATGGTCACAGCAAGTTATATTTATATAGTTTTAGATAGATAGATAGATAGATAGATAGATAGATAGGATAGATAGATAGATATTATCTATATGACAATAATAAAGGAAAATGGCTATCACATTGAAAGGGGATTATGGGATACATTAGAGGGAAGAAAGGGAAGGGCAGAATGATGTGATTGCATTTTAATTATAAATGTAAAAATAAATTATTTTTATTGATTATAAAACAATAAAAAAAAACCAGCCTTGGCTACACAGTGACTTCAAGGTTGGTCTGAGGTTACATAACAGAGGGGGGGGTGGGGAAGGGGAAAGGAAGTTAGAGAAAGAGAAAGACAGACAGACAGACAGGAAAATGGCTCAGTAGTACTTACCATGCAAGCATGAGGACCTTAGTTTGGATCCCCAGCCTAAAAATAAAGCTGGGTAAAACAGCACATGCTTACCACAGTGCTAGAGAAGTGGCCAAGAAGAATGACCAGGGCTTAGTGGCCAAGTAGAACCCATGTCAGGTTCATTAAAGAGAACTTGTTTCAAAGAGAGAGAGAGCGAGCAACTAAGGAAGTCACAGACATCAACCTCTGACCTTCACACACATAGACATATACAACACATACATATGTGTGGGGTGGTGGTACACATCTATAATCCAGGCTGAAGCAGACAGCTAGTGCTTGAGTGCAAGAATTCAAGACCATCCTTGACACTGGCTACATGAGTAAATAAATACAAACAAGATATATCATGTAACAATAATGAGACTCTGAAGTCAAACAGATACAAAGTATAATTCAAAGCTTCCTCTTACTTTTAAAGATTTATTTTTATTTTATGTTTCTGAGTGTTTTGCCTGCATATATGTAAACAGCCCAACAGAAACAGGCATCCAGACTCAAGAGAACTGGAGTTGCAGATGGTTGTCAGGCTACATATGAGTAACAGGAATCAAACCCAGGTCCTCTGCAAGGGCAGCAAATGCTCTTAATCCCTAAGCCATCTCTCTAATGCTCGGTAGTCTTATTTTTAAAAGAGGAAAATACAGGAATTGTTTGTGAACGCAATACAAAATAATCCATATAAAATAGCTTTAAGCCTCACAAAGTCCTTCAATAGTATCATTATTATGTTTGTCTAGCAAGCAAACAAAGAAGTTATCAAAAACAAAGAAAACATTGCTTACTGTTATCTGACTCAATCCAGCCAACCTCATGGTCAAAGTTGGTGACATAAAGTACTTAAAAGCAAGATCCAGGCTTTCTTTATCAAAGCATAGTGTTGTATCCAATGGCTCTTTCACTGTACTCCACATTAAGTCAGCCATGTTACGAGCTGCACTCTGTCGTAACTCCTGATCAGAGAGCTTGCATAAATACCTGAATGATTCAAAAACAGAAAACACACAAAACTCACTAACCCTAAAATCCCAATAGAAAGTCATCAACATTCCTTTGCTCCAGATCTCCATTTCATATATTAGGACCCTGGATTCTTTACATTTATTTTTAACTTAAATTTTCCTCTTTTATGTTTTAAATGTTTATATTTACTTATTGTGTGTGTGGGCATGTGGAGGTGCCATGATACGGGTATGGAGGTCAGAGGACAACTTTAAGAACTACTTCCTGTGGATGGAACTCAAGGCATCAGGATTCAAGTACTTCCATCCACTGAGCCATTTAGCTAGCTACAATTTAAACTATTTCTACTAGTTAAAAAAAAAAATGAGCTATAACAATATGTCATTGCTGAAAGTCCAACGTTAACTGCCAATTGCAAAAAAAAAAAAAAAAAAAAAAAAAAAAAAAAAAAAAAAAACAGGTCATTTCTCATAGGGTTCAGTACCTCCATAATGCTTTATTATTCTCTAAAATCTGTCATATTTTCAGCCCCTATTTTAGTGAGTATCAGCTGAAATCATAAGAAACAACTCATTTCCTTCTGGGACACAGGTAATCCTTGTTAAGGTGCACATCCAAAACATAATGTCTTTTATTTAATTTTATTTTTTCTGAAACCCAACATCTGATTTTAAAGTTTTTCTCAGGTCAGGGCTTACATCTCTGAGCATTCATTCTCTTGTTATCCAACCTTTCAACACCTTGAGATCTGTAAAAATGTCACCTATTGCTACATGAAGAAGTGTTTGAAATGTGAGTCTATTACTCCTTCCATCAAAAGGTATCTAATTTTTTACACTACTAAGTCTGGACTTTGCCACTGAGCTTCCCCTCTACTATTACAACACTCATACCACTAAAAAAGAGACACAAATTAGCGCACTTCATGAATGAGTATGCTATTTCCCAACTCCAATTAGGCTGCAAATCACAGAACAATTAAAGTTGCCCTCAAACACACAGTTTCAGCAAAGCCAGTCTAAATCAGTTGAAATATCTATCCTACCAACTATGAGAAATAATAAACACCTATTACTTTAAAACAGTAGGTATGGGGGGGGGGCGGTGTCTGTTTACATAGCAAAAGCAACTGATACAGGGCTTCACCCCAGACTCATCTTTATTTTCTTTCTTTGCTTTCTCTTTAAGTGACCTGGTATGCTCTACTTGTTTCTAAGTACTGCTTTTACGCTGATAATTTGGGGTATGGGTTTGTTGTTCATGTTTTGTGGGGTGTGTATGTCTGCAGTATATGTGGTATATGTGAGTGTGTGTATACAACATACATGTGGATGGAAGGCAGAGGTCAATGTGAGATATCTTCTTCAATTTCTCTCTACATTACTTTTTATCATTTTATCTTATTTTTATGTTTTTATTCATTTTTTATTATTTTATATTTTTTATATATTTTTTCATTTTATTGTTTATTATTTGTTTATTTAAATATGTCCTCATTTTGTGTTTCTGCTTGTCTTGCCTGCATGTATGTCTGAGTACCACTTGTATGTCTGGTGCCTGAAAAGGCTATAAGAAGGTATCATCCATTCCCCTAGGACTAGAGTTACACATGGTTAAGGAAACTGGCTCTGCTTCTTTTATAATCTGAACTAGACATCTGAACTCAAGTCTACATGCTTATGCAGCAAGCACTGTACCCACAAAGCAAACTTGCCAGACATTATGCTGACAACTAAATAATTTTCTTCTCAACTATAAGCTCATGCTTTCAATTTGCCATCATATTAATGTCTCACAAGGAATACAAAGTCTCATCTATGCTTTCTGTCTGTTGCATCACTGTTAATGACATCCACAGCAAAAGAGAAACCTAAGAAGGGGTGAGTATTGGACTCATCTGTAATGTTACTTTTTTCTTTTAATTTTTTTAAAATTAGATTTATGTGTACTTTGCCTTCGTGTGTGTGTGTGTGTGTGTGTGTGTGTGTGTGTGTGTGTGTGTGTGTGTGTGTGTGTGCTTGTTGCCTGTGGAAGTTAAAAGAGAGCATTGGAACACCTTGAACTAGAGTTACTGATAGCTGTAAACTACTACGTGTGCTAGAAATTGGACCCAGGTCCTCTACATGAGCAGTTGGTACTCTTAGCAACTGAGACATCTCTCCAACACCTGTAATGTTATTATTTTTCTTTATAGCCCCATAATTACTAATCTTAGTAATTTTATTTTCATATAATATGCATATTTTCAATATAGACATCAATAATCTTGGTATAACTAATGTAATTCCTGTCTACAACATGGTATTGTACTTTTAATTGGTCCCTTAGCTTCTACTAAAGTCTCTATAGAATTTAAAAAAAGAATTTTATTAAAGGCCAAAGTGGTCTTTTAAAAACATTATTATTCGCCGGGCGTTGGTGGCTCACGCCTTTAATCCCAGCACTCTGGAGGCAGAGGCAGGTGGATCTCTGTGAGTTTGAGACCAGCCTGGTCTATAAGAGCTAGTTCCAGGACAGCCTCCAAAGCCACAGAGAAACCCAGTCTCGAAAAAACAACAACAATAACAAGAAAAACAAACAAAAAAATTATTATTCATCTACTTGAAACCTTCACTAGAGTCACCATTGCTAAAACCCAAATACTCACAATGGCCTACGAAGATCTGAATCATCTGCCCTTGCTGAGCACTCGAAGCTGTTATCATAACTACACCCTCCCTTACACAACAGGCTCACACCACTCCACTTCTAAGATCTTCTTCATCATACTCTAAGTCTATGTTCTTTCTTTTTTTCTTAGAACATATGCCCCTGACACCCTATGAGTAGCTGGTTCACATTTCCTATCATACTGCTTTACTTATAAGGTATTAAGCACATCTGAGCTATCCTGATACTCTGATATTCTGCAATACCTCCAAATGTATCAGGAAAAAGAGTAAATACTTCAAAACTTTAAAAATGAATGAGAAAAAAGTACAAAGAACTCCTGATTTTTAATCAAGAAAATTAATTCTTAGTACTCTCACAGCTCTTATCTAAGCTATACATTATTTTAGGTTTCCTTCTTAGGCTAACAATAAAACTCAAATTCAATTCCTCTTCAAAAGACCTCTCTCATTCCTGTAATTTATGTGTGTGCGCATGTATACATGAGTTGAGTATATAGAGGCTGGAGGTATTATTTTTATGGTGCCCAACAATTTTTGTTTGAGAAAGGGTCTCTCATTTGCCTGAAACTTCATCAAGTAAGCTAGGACAGGTGGCTAGCGAACTTCCAGGAATCAGTCTCCAATTCTCACCTCCCCTACAATATCTGCAGTCATGCCTGGGTCTTTAGTCTTCATATGGACTTAGGTCCTCACACTTGTGTACATGGTTTTCCAACAGAATATCTCCTCAGGCCTCACCCCACCAAGTATGTAAAATTATAGTCCACCCTCTCATACTCTTAATATTTTTTCCTGATATTTATCCTGTAATATTTGTGATGATTTCTTATAAACCGTGTGAAACAAATTACTTTCAATAAGCTGTTCCTTAACAAAATGCTTAAAATTACTTATTGAATGAACTCAGTAAAACAATAAGTCTATTTAATTCTTCCTAAACTCACACGTAAAAACAAGATTAAATAACTTGCCAATATACACATATCAAATATAAACTCATACACACACATAGAAATTACTACATACTTATGTATAAACTGAAAATCTTCCCTATGATATATATGCAAGGGTTTTTCAAAAGCAACAAAATTGTTATATTCTGTTACAAAGTTATTTAATTAATAAATGAGGGAAGAAAGTTTATAGGCTTACCTGATAACATACGTTCTAAAAGGTATAATATGCTGCATGACAGCAGGGATATGTAGCCATATCCTAATCTATAAGTAAATGTAAACAAAACAATATAAGAAAAATGTAAAACATTTTAGTGTCTGACACTTAATTTAAAACAAGAACAATTAATATTTGGCCTCTTAAACCACACAATTTATAAATCTTTAATAGGATAAGCTACAAAAAGTTATAATTCCATCAGATAATTAATCTTATATATATAAAAAAATATAAAATCAACTTGAAAAAATACTAAAGCCATGCTTTTCCATATCTCACTGCATGAGAGCAGGTGTGTGTGTGTGTGTGTGTGTGTGTGTGTGTGTATTTGTGGAGTGTGAGCTGAAAAGAGATCATTCTCTCCCTCTCTCACACACACAAATATAATGTTTTTTTATATTTATTTATGTCTAAGTGTTTTGCTTGCAAGCATGTCTGTGTTTCATGTGCTTCCTTGATCTGAATTATGTATGATTTAGAACTGTCATGTGGATGCTGGGAACTGAACACAGATCCTCTGCAAGAACAATTAGTACTCTTAACCACTAAGCCACCTCTCCCACCCTAAAACATTTTTTAAAGAAACATTTGCCCCACTTATAGAAAACTGACCACTGAAAAGATTAGGCCAAATTAAACTGCACTTTCAGCACAACAAATGAGGTTTATGTATGTACAAAGTATAAAAAGTGACTCAAAGAGCAAAGATACAAAACAGGCTCAAATGGCATAGATATCAGGAAGCAATATTTCTCACAAGCTTCAGAAATTAGGACAGAAAACAAGCAAACTAAAAGGACAATGTTAGATATGAATATGCTTTTCAGGTTTACCTTTGCCCCCTCTTGGTGCTAATAAAATTATAGAGCCTCTAAATATACATTAAATATGTCATTAATAGGGGAAAAATGTTCCCTACTCTCCATAGCTTAATCACAGAGCTACTATTTGATAAAGTAGCAAAATAAAATTTTTACAAAACTGTCAACCTACTGTCTGATCTGGCACAGAGATATGTGAAAATACATAAACCTAAACTCATTTCTTATATTCAAAAGTCTCTGTTAGTCCACTTGTAAAATCAGGGAGTGTGGGTGATGCAGGATCTCATTATGCATCTCTATCTGGTTAGATCTATGTAGACCAGGCTCCCCTCCAATTCAGAGATCCACCTGTCTCTGCTTCCCGAGTACTGGGATGAAAGAAAGCACCACCACATCTAGCAAAAGCAATATTAAGACAGCTTAATTTATTCTGTTGATTGGAGAATTATTAAAACCACTGACAAGCTTGCATCTGATTATTATTTTTATTAATAACCTAAGGTATATTATTTTCTTTGTTTTTCGAGACAGGGTTTCTCTCTGTAGCTCTGGTCATCCTGGAACTTACTCTGTAGACCAGGCTGGCCTCGAACTCAGTAATACCTGCCTGCCTCTGCCTCCTAAGTGCTGGGATTAAAGGCATGTGCAACCACCACCTGGTTTAAGCTACATTATTTTCAAAAGCATGTTTTTTGTAAGGTTTATTGTTTTCTTTGTACTTCTTTTCTCCAGATGTACTAAATGTTTTTAATTCTCTATCTATACTTGACATATTTTTAATAAAAAACTTATTATGTTTGAGACAGGAAAACTCTGGAAATGAGGAAAGAGCTGAGGAAAGGTACTATATGCTAGAACCAAATTTAACCTAAAAAAAAATCTACCTGGGTCTTAATAGGTAAGCAACCATTTTAATTTATGTTCTACTACTCCAGTCTGTGATAAATGTTAATAAGCTGCCTTTCCTAAGGATTTAAAGGTCATCAGAAAATAACAATAAAAAAGGTTTTTCTTGCTGGGCAGTGATGGTAAACGCCTTTAATCCCAGCAAGGGAGGAGGGGGGCCAGAAGGCAGATCTCCGTGAGTTCGAGACCAGCCTGGTCTACAGAGCTAGTGCCAGGACAGCCTCCAAAGCCACAGAGAAACCCTGTCTCGAAAAACCAAAAAAAAAAAAAAAAAAAAAAAAAAAAAAAAAAAGTTTTTCTAAGAGTGGATCCAGACAAGTGGGCTATTTGTTGCAAAACTGAAAAATGTACTAACAATCAGACAAAGACTGGCTGAAGCTAGCTAGCCAGGCATGGTGGTGCACACCTGTAATGCTAGCACTTGGGAAAGAAAGGCAAAAGGATCTCTGAATTGGAGGGTAGCCTGGTCTAAATAAGTGAGTTCCAGGACAGCCAGGACTACATATTGAGAGCCTGTCTCCAAAGTTAAAAAAAAAAAAAGTGAAGCACTCTAAAACAGACATAATAATCTAGTTCCCAAGAAATACTATTATGCTTTTTTAAAAATATTTATTATGTATACAGTGTTCTACCTGCATATGCCTGCACACCAGAGAGGGCACCAAATTTCATTACAGATGGCTATGAGTCACCATGTAGTTGCTGGAAATTAAATTCAGGATCTCCAGAAGAGTAGCCAGTGCTCTTAACCTCTGACCCACCTCTCCAGCCTGAAATATAACTATTTTTAATGGGATATGTGATCTACACTTTGAGAGAATTAAGGCCAGTCCATCTATGCTTTATCTGTATTAGGATTCATCAGTTTTTCTTTTTCTTAATAGGAAAAGAGTTGTTTATCCTTCATTTCATTCATATATACTTATAGATTTCCAAAGAAGGATATTTTCAAGAAAAGAAATAGACATAAACAGTGTAAGTATAGTGATTCACATAAACCAGGGAAAAAGCAAATCTGAGTTCAGCCTGGACTAAATAACAATTTCAAACAAAAGACAAAGCAAACAACAAATCATAGTTCACATGACGACTAACAAAAGAAACTACTGTGTTCTAGGTGGACATGGTTGAGCCACAAACACTCTGTAATTTACACTGTCCTTTAAAATTGACTAAAAACACTGTGTTGGAAGTAGAATTTCACTACGTAGACTACACTATCCTCTAATTCAGAGAGATCATCTGCCTCTGCAGTGCTGGGATTAAAGGTATGCATTTCTACACCCAGCATCACTTTGTATTTATTTATAAACTTTAGGAAGAGTGGGATCAAAACACCAAAAGGAGGTTTTTAAAAAAGTCAAAACTACTAATGTTTATAAGTTTTTAATTTATATAAACTATTTTTTCATTTGTTTTTACTTTCTCAGAAAGGCTGAACTCAAACCTGCTTTGTAGCCAAGGCTAGGCTGTGTTAAACTTTTTCACCATTATCAGAAAACAGGGATTTAAAGATACTCTTGGTAAGAATCACTAATTTAAGAAACACAAAGGTACGCACAGTCAATAAATCTGAGTACTACCAGTACCCTCCCTTTCCAGTGTACTGTGGTACTGCAGAGGAAGCAGTGCTGCTCAAGTGCTTTTTCAGACATACATTTTTAAATTATAAATAGTTATACCAAAATTCAGGTTTTGGTTAAATATATTTAACTTTAGCTATGCTCTTTTAGAAATGACCAAAGTTAAAGGCTGAATATACAGGTATAATAAAATTACTTCTCTCAGACAATTTTTACCGTGCCTCACAGTTCTGACAGTGTAAAGAGAAAACGAAACATTACATCCTTTTATATAATGTACAGGGAAGTAAGACATATTCCAATAGTGAAGTAGATAGCCATCACTAAGAAGCAAAACGTTATCCCAGGACGAACAGAACACCCCAGACAAAAAAGACTAAGTTCAACAAAAGCCATTTACCTTTAATTTTACATAAAAGAGATAATCGTAATATTAACTTAAATTTTATTTTATTCAAATTATAATTTTACTGGCTTTTAAAATATTTACATATTCAGCTTTAAATTATGCAAAGATGGTTGCATATGCAAATTGATTAAAACTTGCCATTTATAGACCAAAAAAAATCTCATGGCACCAAAATCCAAGATATTGCACTAGAAAAGTTCAAGACTAATTCCAAACAATACTTACATTAGAAACAACTGTAATAAATGCATGTGCTATAAGAAACGGCAAAGTTTCAGGAGTTCCATATTCAAAACAATCTTTCATAAGAGAAAGGCCATTTTTCCCACAAAACAGACAGACATAACGAAGCAAATGCAAGGGTACTTCTACATCCTATGAAAAGCAAAAAAGTACATCAGTTTTAAACTTATATAAAAAGAAATAATTTTCAATTTATGAGAAACATTGGAACAATGATATAAAAACAAACTCAAAAGAAAAAAATTTCTATAAACCTTAGAATAAAGAAGATAAACACTTACATTCATATCACAGAATGCCCCTAATATGTTACTTTCTTGCGTCGATATATCCTAATTTTAAAAAAAAGTAAATATTAGGTCATTATTAAATGACAATCAAAAAACATAAATTTTCTAAAAGTGATTTTATAAAATCTCAGGAAGTTATTTTATAGCCATCAATAGCAACATCCCCTACTGAAGTTACAGTAACTCAGCTCTGAAGTGTACTTAAAGTCCTCTGCAGAAAACTTCCCTGTAGTACACACTGCATTGTCCTCCTCCTGCTGCTTAGGTTTCTTTCACAGTAACCAGCAAGCGTCAGGCAAGTGTTCTGCAACTGAGCTACTCTATTTGAGAAAGGTTCTCCCTGCAGAAGCCCAGAAGAGCCTTGAATTCATGACTTTCCTGTCTCCATCTTCACAGGTAACATTACAGCTGTGCACAATCACACTGGGTTTACTTTTCCTTCTCAAATAAAAACAATTTAAACCATATATGTTTTCCTTTAAAATAATAGTGTATCTGGGCAGGTAAATTGTTTAATGGTAGAATTCGTGCCTAGCATGTGTAAGACCCTGGGGCTGGACCTTAACCACTTGGGGGGGCACACTTCAGAAACTTAAATGATTATCAAACTACACTCTGGAATTCTCTAGAGCGAGGCTCCAGAGTTCCCTAATATGTGTTCCATATCTAAAATTTAAACTGTGTCAGCTGGTAGATGGTGACACGTGCCTTTAATCTCAGCACTCAGGAGGCAGAGACAGGTGGATCTCTGTGAGTTCCAGGGCAGGTTCCAAAGCTTCAGAGAACCCGTCTCGAAAAACAAACAAACAAAAAAAAAACAACAAAAAAATAAACTGTGCCCTGTCTCAAACAGAGAGGTTAAAAAAAAAAAAGATTTAAACTGCTGACTGAAGTACACTGATGGTAACCATATAAGCAAATATGGGTACTATGGGGTAAACAGTCACTTTCAATATTTAAAATATTAAATATCTCCTTTAGATCTGCAGGTAATATTTTGAATATTTTAGACCTCCAGATAATCTTTTGGATGTTTCAGTCTGAGGAGGTATTAAGAGAAATGTTGGGAAAATGTATAATCATGTTCACAAAAACTGATACAAATTTAAATACAACTAATACCCATTGATCAGGTAAGTAAATGGTAGTACAAACACCCAATCCTAGAGAGCCTATCAAAAAGAAAACACTCTAAAAACTGAAATGTAGTATAAGTTTGTCTAACTATAGACGTAAGATATGTAAGTTATATCTTTTAAAACCTGTTAAAAAAAAAAAAAAAAAGCCAGGCAGTGGTGGTGCACACCTTTAAATCCAGTCAGTGCTCTGGAGGCAAAGGCAGGAGAATCTCTGAATTCAAGGCCAGCTTGGTCTACAGAGCAATTTTCAGAACAGCCAGACAGCCCGTGCTACAGATAAACACTGTCTCAAAATCACCCCCTCCAAAAATAGGCCTGATGAAAACAAAATGCATAGAAAAAAATTAAGCAGATTTGTATGCTCTAGAGAAAGTAATACTGTCTGTATTATATTTAAGAACAGAACTTATGATCAAGATCTAATTATCAAAATTATTTAAAATCAGGATCATACTACTGGAGAGCACAGGCTGGCCTGGAATTTACAATCCTCCTGACGTTGGCTTTCAAGTATGCAATACTATGCCTTGCTGATCATAATTTAGGCATACAATGGAGTGGGATTTCAGAAAGGGTCTCTGATAGGCAATGTCCTTCTGTATGTTGTGAATATGTATCTCTTTTTGGTTAATGAATAACTATTTCAGCCAATGGACAGGGAGGATGAAGCAGGCATGAAGTATAAGCAGGGATACCAGACTAGGGGAATGCTGGGAAGAGTAGGGCAGAGAGTGAGTCAGAGACACTATGTAGCTGCCAAGGAAGATAAGGGGCCCGGACATCACCGGTAAGCCAATACGATTTAGTTATACTATAAATATAGAATGGATTAATAATTAAGAGAGAGCTAGCCAATTGGAAGCCTGAGCCATTGACCAAACAGTTTATAATTAATACAAGCTTCTGTGTGTTTATCTGGAACTGAACGGCTGCAGGACGGGGCAGGACAGAAACTTCCATCCACAAGACTCATATAGCCTAGGCTGGCTTTGAACTCCCTTTAACTCTCAATCCTACCCTAATCTGCCCAGAGGTGAGATAATAGGTATGCACCAATGTATACTTCTTTTTAAAGTCTGCAAAGATATGAATTGTAAAGATATTTAACTACAAGGGTGTGTTTTGTCACTGAGGAAGCATTGGGGGAAAAAGGTGAGGTCCAGGACTTTTAAAGTTTTTATATTGTAGCCGGGCATTGGGGGCACACGCCTTTAATCCCAGCACTCGGGAGGCAGAGGCAGGCAGATCTCTGTGAGTTTGAGACCAGCCTGGTCTACAAGAGCTAGTTCCAGGACAGCTTACAAAGCCACAGGGAAACCCTGTCTCAAAAAACCAAAATAAATAAATAAATAAATAAATAAATAAAGTTTTTATTTTGTATATTCTGTTTTTTAATTAGTTATACTATAAATACATTCATCTGAAACAGATACCAAGAGAACTCATTCATTCTTTACCATTACCTGTTTCACAAAAAGCTGAATTGTTGAAATGTGTGAAAATGACTGAAAAATCCCAGCACTCTCAGAACACTGAACATGAACTAAAATTATCCAAATAAAAACACTTTCCAAAATAGGTATACTAAACCTTTTTTTTTTTTTTTTTTTTTTAAGTTTCTAATAACAGGGCCTCAAGTTACTCTCAACAAATGTTTATAATTGAGATTGTAGTTCAGTGACAGAACACTTGCCCAGCACATATAAGGCTCTGGGTTCCAGCCTAAGCATCAGCAGGGAAAATTTCTGAGTTTAAGAACTCCTGTGGCACTATTAAAGCACTAGGTCACTGACAATGAACCATGCTGGAATAGTACTTTCCATCAAGATTATTGATGCATAGCATGAACACAGTATGAAACTCTGAAAAGGTTTCTATGCTGATGTGCCATTGGTTCCATATGGAGTAACTATTTTCCCAGTCCATACTTCTCCTGCCACTTCCTTTTTAGTGCTGGCATTTTTAAATACATACAGCCAAGTCTAGATTACAATCTCATTATAATCTTTATGTTTATGAAATGAAATTATACCACATTGTAGAAGCAAACAAAACCATATTAAAAACAAGTGGTTACAGCCGGGCAGTGGTGGCAAACAGCTTTAATCCCAGTACTTGGGAGGCAGAGGTAGGTGGATCTCTTGAGTTCTGGGGACAGTTCCACAGAGAAACCCTGTCTCAAAAAAACAGAAACAAGTGGGTAATTAAAGAGTGAAATAATTCTCTATCTAATAAAACAAATACTGCTCCATAACGAAGCCATAAAAAACTAGAGGTCACTGAGTTGAGAATTAAATTTGTGCTTAAAATTGGGAGTACTTCAATTTACAGTAATAGTTATGTAATTCTGGGAGTACACTAAAAACAGCTGTAAAGTTGTTAAAGATTTTATGGCACACTCTTTTAATCCCAGCACTCAGGAGATCTTCTGTCTACTTAGCAAGTTCCAGACTAGCTAGGGCTACAGAATGAGACACTATCAAGTAAATAAATAGATAAAAGGATGAAGGAATGAATATATGAACAAACAAATGAGAAAAGCCTTACAAGATCACTGAGTAAGGGTGCTTGCTGCCAAGCCTGACAACTTGAGTTTAAGCTTCAGAACTCACATGGTAGAAAGTGGGAACTGACTCCTGAAAGTGTCCTCTGGCTTCAAGGAACTCTTTAACACGAGCATGCACGCACATGCATACAATACACAAAATAAAGTATAATAAAATTATTTTTAAAAACTATTTTATGACAAGGTCCCACTATGTAGCCTAAGAGCTGACTCAGAAGGGGCCACCACATCCAGCTTTGATTTTTGTTTAACGGTCTCATATTTAGCCTATGCTGGCCTTAAGCTCACCACACAATCAAGGATAACTTGTTTATTCCTGATCCTCCACCTCATAAACCTTCACAAAACTAGCAACATCAAACACCACACCCAGTTCATTAAGTAGTAGGGATCACTAGACACTCTACAAACTTAACATTTTGTATGTTTTTTGTTTTTAATTTAAAAGAGATTCATGATCGATTGCCACAAACTGAAGCTTGCTGTGCTACTGAAGTTCTAAACTACCGAGGGCAATACAGCAATAACCTGTCTCCAAAAAAAGAGTAAGTTTTTAACAGGGTACCAAAAATAAAATAGCAGTCAGTAAAAGGACCAAAAACATTAGTTCAAGGCTATCTTTGCCACATAGTGAATTCAAGTCAGCCTGAGCTACACAAAACCCTCTTAAAATTGTCAAGTTACAGGAACACAGTCTCATCATACCATGAACACACACATTAAAGAAAAGTACTGCCACCTCTCTCTGCTCTGCAGACTTCCTTGTTTGAGACATAGTCTCACTATACAGTATTAGGTGTCCTGGAACTTACTATGAAGACAAGGCAAGACTCTGCCTTCCAAATGCTGGGATTAAAGGTATGAACCACTTCATCCAGCCCCAAGGGATCAGCTCTTAACAGTACTTTGCTGTTGGCGGGTGGTGGAAAAGAGTATCTTTAATGCCAGCACTTCAGAGGGAGGGGCAAATGGATCTCTGAGTTTGAGGCCAGGGCTACTCAAAAAAAAAAAAAAAAAAAAAAAGGGAGTATTTTGATAGTCTTGCCATGAGCAAGGTTCAGTGGTTCCCAGCGGTAGCTAACAATCAGTTGTAATTCTAGTTCCAGGAAATCCAATGCCCTCTTCTGGCCCCCAGACACCAGGCATGCATGCAGTGCGCACAAGTCAGAGAGGCGAGAGAAAGAAAACAGAGAGCTATAGAAAGGGTAGGGGAGAGAGAGAGAGAGAGAGAGAGAGAGAGAGAGAGAGAGAGAGAGAAAGCCAAAATGTCATATATATAAATCCTTAGCTGACCTCTCTCATCTGAGTATTTTGAGCAGCCAGGACAATGGTCACAT